CTGCACAATTAAATTTCATTTAGAACTCGTCTGTGGGTACTACTCTTAGAGAAATACTTATTTTTTAGGTATATTATAGCAGATAGATAAGTACCTGGTAAGTGTATTTTCACAAACTCCCGCTGGTACGTATACTACGTATGTAAATCTTAGGTGGAAAAAAACTCGTTCATTTATATGCATCTAATTCTCGCGAACCATCAAATCGTCCTATCCAAACTTGACATGACTCCCGGCTCTTATGGCTTATATCCAAATCTCGGCCTCCACATCCGAATCCATCATATGGCAAATAAGACCAAAATGAGCTTATTTTGATCGTCAAGGCTTTTTCCGTTTGCTACAAAAATTGCATCTTCCTTTTTATGCATTTTGAGAAACTAAACCACCTCCTCACGCTCCACGCTGACGCTCCATTGACGTGAACTGTCTATGCCGTCTGAACCACTGGTTTTCAGAGTGTTATTTGCACTAAACTGTTTATGCTTAATTTGGCTCTATTTAGGTACTACTGCTAATATCCACCACCTTTCAAGGTTTTATTAAATTATATCTACCACTTCGGGTTTTACATAACTAATCTGCTTTGTCTACGCTAATTAAATTTGTCTTATCAATTGTACCTAAATGACTAACTCAATATAGAAACAATTAGTAATTATTATCTACCTCGTGTGTTCATAAGTTTTGAGACAAACTTTTTGCTTATAAAAATAAAATAAAAATTACTGGCTGCTGTATATTTCTTTTTCTAATTTTGAATTTGGAATGTTAACTTTTAATATCTATGATTTCGGATTATTTTATTTAAATTTTCTCGTAATGGAGGGAACAAAAGAATGACGTGCGACCGTCATTTCATTATTTAAGGTGGGAAGAAAACCTATGGACATTTTCCGAGAACTGAAAAGTTTTGGTGTGAGCCGTAACTTCGTGTATTACACTATTAAACGATACCAGGAGACAAGTTCTTGACATGATCGGCAAAGAAGTGGTCGTCCACGCTCTGTGAGGACGCCTGCGAACATTAAAATCATCCGAGAGCGAATTCGCCGAAATCCATGTCGCACTCAGAAGAATCTCGCTCTGCAGACCAATATCTCGCGCGTTTCAGTCAACAGAATACTGAAATATGATCTCAAGGTTAAGGCGTATAGCCGTAGAAAAGTACACTTTTTAAACGATCGCCTTCGTCAATTGCGACGCGAACGTTGTCCAATACTGCTTAGGAGACACGATGCGAGGAAGATACTCTTCACCGACGAGAAAATCTTTACCGTCGAAGAAAAGTTCAATCAACAATAAAGTGTATGCCAAAAGTAGCAAGGATGTCCCACCTTCAGCACGGAATGTCTCGCGTACTCATCATCCGGCTAGTGTCATGGTATGGTGGGGAGTTTCGTACGAAGGTGTCACTCAGCTTCATTTCTGCCAACAAGGCGTCAAGGTGAAAGCCAAAAATTATCAAAGTGACATTCTAGAGACTGTTGTGAAACCCCTGTCTAATACCCTATTCCATAACAAGTATTGGGTTTTCCAGCAAGACTCGGCGCCATCCCATAAGGCTAAAACCACCCAAGCTTGGCTGAAGGAAAATGTGCCGGCCTTCATTGCGGCGAACGAATGGCCCTCCTCCAGCCCCGACCTCAACCCGCTGGATTATTCTCTATGGACCGAATTAGAGCTCAGAGCCTGCCGAAAGTCCCACCCAAACTTGGAGTCACTTAAGCGAGCTCTTGTCCGAGAAGCGAAGCGAATTCCTCTGGAAAAGATTCGTGCCGCCATTGATGACTGGCCAAATCGTCTAAGGGCATGTATTAAAAACAGGGGTGGTCATTTTGAATAATAATTATATTTAATTTTTACTTACTATCTACTTAATGTTTGTTATTGTTTTTATAAATATAAGTTTATTATTTAAAAAGATATGCAACTTTTAATTTGTCTCAAAACTTATGAACACACGAGGTAGTAACTAAGAATTGACGAGAATCAAAAAACTAGTTAGAACAGCGCTATTTTGGATATTGTTTTTATCAAATGTATTTAGTTGGTTGTATAAATAACTATTAAAGCAGTTATATAGTTATTCATAAGTAAAGCAGTTATAAATTATGTTAGTAATACTGTCTGTTGTGGAGATGAAACATTTGAAAATAACAAAAACCACGAACACATCTGTGTGGTAATTTAAAAATAAGTAATGCCTAGGTATTTTAACAATTATTAAATATATATATGATACGTTTACTTTACGTTTTCTCTTATATGCAGAGGTACGATAGCAGTTAAAATCAGTACATAGAGAATGTGACTTACAGTAAACTTCGTCTATGATTTCAGAATCACTGCTTGTCTCATCGTCCACTGGCCTGTGCCGCGTTTTTATTTTTTTTGTTATAACATCCATATTGTCATGTCGATCAGAACACACTCAGCTTCACACTGCCAATGCATACACCAAATATTAACATCTTAACACTTTGATACCCTAGCAGTACACAGTTTCAAATAACACTGAGACATCACGCATTAAATTTTGAGATTAGATAGCAATTGATAGCATCTACTTATCAAAATGTTTTTCTATTGGTGCTTGATTGTGTTGATTTCTTCACAACAAATAGCAATCAACTTATTTACAAGGTTATCCGAAAATGATATAAGTATTTATTTAACTCATTAAAATGTTTGCAGTGTTGTGTAATAGGAGGAAGCAATATTGTCACAATCTGATTAGAAATGAACACGAAGAGGTACAAAATGAGGTCTTACTATTTACGAGACCAAATCCGTTTTAAAATCATAATAACGTTTCCAAGCAATCTTACTACTTTTATAAAGTAAAAATGAGTTTTCCAATTAACATAGTTTCTTATTATCAAGACAGTAGGTACTTATTCTAGTAGCCAATATCGACGGAGGCGTCAATCTAGTCAATCAATTTAACATTAAATGACCTGAAGTGTTGTTTTAAAAATGTAAAAAAATAAGCTTGAATAAACATAGTGTTCGCTTTTGATGATGAGCTCGGGTAGATTAAGCGTGCAGTCCCTTTTTATAAATAGATGTCTATTGCCCTAGAAAATAAACGAACCATTTTTCATGCTAGAAACCTACGTAGCGTGCTAATTGCAAGCAATGAAGCCATAAAATATAAAAAATATCCTATTATGTTACACATAATACATATTTTTCGCTATTTACATCTATTTAACCATAATAACCGACTTCATTTACGGAACATTATTATTATGTATGTTTTAATTTACAAATATGTATGTATATATATATATTATAAATATATCTATTTAAGATAGATATCGATTACCTAAATAGAACATAACTCTAGGACAGTCCGACGCCGTTCATCGACGACCATCATTTATAAGGCATTAATGGATACCAACATCTATAGGAGTAAACGATAGTACCTACATTATATAGGTTCCAGCACCTATCTAACTAGAGATCGTGTTATTGTAGAAATCTAAATACGTAATCCCGAGAGGAAATACGTTACAAGTAGAAATACACTTATCAAATAACAAATCTCTGAGGCAATGATTTGATGAAAAGAGAGGGCACTCTCACCTCTAGTATACACAGGAAAATCGCCGTCGGATCGACTGTGAGTTAGCATGGGTCCGTAGCACCGCCACGGCGGTCGGTCGCGCAGCGCCCGTGGGCCCTCCACGGCCGTTCACCTATACCAGCCCATCAGCACAATAAACACGGCACACGGGCCTACATCAACGTAGCACTCTCAGCGTGGCGTCCAGCTCTCACAACTCACGTCAACTCACCGATGGCGGCGCCACATAGACGGAGAGCGAGCGGAGGCTGCGCGGCGCATCTCACGCGCGCATCCCTCACCCTTTCTGTTTCTGTAAGCGGGCCGCCGCCGCCCGCCGCCACGCAGGCCCTCCGTCCCCCATGCAAACACGTGTACTGTGTTAACGTGATCCTTTCTATGTAGTAAACGCCCAATATTTATGAAATGTCCATCTTTACGCGTATAAATCCACAACCATGAGCACCCATTAATATTGTTTCTTTCAGAAAACAATGTAATGTTCTTTTGTTACATGTTTCACATTAAGTAACCAAATATGTTTATTTCTAAATTAGGTATTTCTATGCCTTCTTTTTACCCAATAGGTAATTTTAATATTCCTCATATTCCTCATACGTAGTGGATAAAAAACATTATATCATTAATTTTTTTTTGTCTATTCAATTAAGAGAAAAACATTACATTTATAAAATTACTAGCTTCTGTCCGGGTCTTCGTACGCGCCATCCCGTTTTTTCCTGTTCGTGGTTTTCGATGAAAAAAATGGATACAAAGTATCCTGTCTGTCTCCTGGTTATAAGCTAACTTCCCACCCATTTTCATCCAAATCGATTTAGCCGTTCTTGGGTTATAGTGTAACTAACACGACTTTCTTTCAAATATAAAGATAACTACATCCTATCATGAGACAACAAATAATTTTAATCAATTGACTGGACAATGGACATTTTAAACATTTATCAATAATGCTGTTGCAATTTTTTACAATGTTTACTTGCATCTACACAATGTTTACTTACAGCATCAATATCTATTTAATTAATTCATAAGAAACTATGAAGTTCAAAGATTATGAGTATTTATTCACTTACATAGTTTTCCACAGACATTTCCTATTTCCAAAACTTATTGTTTCAGGTAAATTGGTATGAATGAGACTGCTAGGCCATTATACACATTTCATTATTTAGATAAAAAAAATGTGTAGTAAGCAATTATGCTCATTTTGTATGAAAACACACAAAATGAGCATGATAGCTTCCAGTTTACTTCCACAAACACTTAAACACAAACAAAATTAGTAAATTGCCCTTTAGAAACTACTTTCGAATATGTAGTAATTTTAGTAGAACAGATTATCCCGGACAAGCCATATCTGTGTGTAGTACCCATTACCCATAATTTGACAAAATCTTGTACTCACTTAGATCACCATTAGCTGTTGCTGAATCAAATGGTATAGACAAATGTCGACCACCTTTTCCCACAGGATGGACACCCAGATTTGATTTGTCCTCGATGTCACCTAAGCAAAATATATAAAGCTTTTATGTACAACATAAGCAAAAACAGGAAAAAATAATAAACACCATATTATCTGGAAATGGTTATGATTTTATAACACAGTAATTTGAGCAAAATCAATTTTATTTCACAATATTTTGTTTTTATTTTATTGCATTGTAATTTAATCAGATTAATAGTATACAGATACAAGCTTCGACATTAACATAATTTAATTTAAATAATAACATTCCACAGTGGGTTATCAATATACGAAATGTAATCTGAATAGTCCATGTAGTCATGCATACTTCCAGCTCCTCGATTTTGGCTCCTTAATTTCTTGTCCTGTTCTGTGATATAAAGTTGCTTGTACAGTTCTTTCCAACTTCTAACATCTGTTTGTTGATCACTTTTAAAATCTCTCTTACACAAGGAGTACCACAAACTATCATTTTCTAGTAACGCCTTCAGTCTTGTGTTAGCCTTACACACATTAAGTATATCTATCACGGGCAGGTTTATCATAATATTGAAGAGTACCTCCTCTGGCAGTCCCATTAAACTAGCGCTTGCATAACCATGATGACTTAATATTCTACTTTTGACAGCAGACACAGTTTTATTTTTGAAAGATGTTGAGAAATGTTTCAAATCCCGAAATATCATTGGAATAGATGTAGCTTGAGGTGACACCACATAGCGACTGATGGGTATACAAATAGAATAAGTATCATAGTTTAATTCATTTATAACTAAATTCACTAACACAGTTGCTCCCAGTGGACTCATAATCAATTTCAGTGTAATGTTCTTAAATCCAGACATTATGAATGTAGATTCATATATCCCGGAGGGTGATTTCCATTTGGATAGTTGGACAACACTGAAGGATGCTATGGGATCTATCACCTCCTTATCTTCATTAACAAGTAAGAACCCATTTTCTATCATCAAAACAATAATCATAATAAATAAAAAATCTTTTTGGATAGAATCATATGTTTTACTCTCCTTTAAAATTCGTTTAACAAATTCATGTAGCAAAGGTGCTATCTTCTCAGTATTACTTTCTTCTAGTGTGATTTCCATGTTATATTGATGAAAGTGATGGCATCAATTTTGACATGCCGCGCATAGTAAAACTGGACGCAGTACCAACTAAAATTTTAGGCACGCAAAGTGGTAGTTTGTACTTCCAGTTTATTTAATAAATTTCATTAGGTACTTGACTGAACTGAACAACAATTTGTTTACATAAAATGAAATGTCATTGTCCCACAATCGACAAATGTCGAAATTTGTAGGAAAAATGACATTACATGTGGCGTTTACGAAGACAGCTGTGAATGTATGAGTCGTACATTTATGAAATTCGTAATATTTTATAAATTTTATAGAAAAAAATATGTTATTAAATTTTATTACTACGATTTAAATTTAGCTCACCTAAAATGTAACTCTAACCTTTTACAAAATGTTTATGTGACCATTCGGAATAAAATTCGAAAAGCAGAATATTCAGAATATTTTTGTTATTCAAACCGAATAACGTCCCTTAAACGAGATATAATACATATAATAATAAAATAATGTATCACATTCTTGTACGTACATAGCTTTTTTTTTGAGGGGAGAAAATCATCCAATGGCTTCTCCCTCCCGGGTGAGGCGAGAGGGAGTGTCAGACTCTTACTGACTAGAAATCACCCGTTCGTACTCCTGCATTTCGAGCAGGAGCCCCGGCAACCCGTTAAGTCCTTCGCGGGCACTTACATAGCTTACTTTATAAATGCACCACATAATTTTTATTTGCGTTTTACATCGGGATATGTACGAACAGTACGAAGTTGTGGAAAAGTTACAAGATTTTTTTTTAACTTATATAATATATTTACTTAACCAAAAATTTAAAATCTACAAAATATATTTCTTACAAATATTGGCAAAGTATGTGGTATGTGAAGTGACTCCATCTCTTTTCGACGAAGACATAACTTTGACAAAAATAATGATTTTGGCCTATTTCCAAATGACTGAATGCTATAACATTCCTATATGATTTACAATATTTCAGTTATTTCCTTGTTTTTTTTCTCTCATACATAAGATGAGTTATTTTTATAAACATTAAATAATTTTAGTGAAGTTAAAAAAGTATGGTAATAGAGTCATGAGGATATTATGCCCTGAGTTAAAGTATTGCTGGAATAGCACTCCAAATTTGGGTAAAGTTTTGCTCCCTGTTTCAAAAGAATGAGTATGCTTGATTGAGTATTAGTGGTCATATTATAATTTTGTATAGAAGAAAGACTTTTAATAGAATCTTGATTAACACACAATCAGTAACCTCAATGCTGACTCCAAATTATTTTGTAGAAGGAGCATGAGAAAACAGTTTTTCTATATTTATTACATATATTGAAAGTTTATTAAGTAAATAGTGAGGTAGTTAGTGTCGCAGTCACTCAGTGTTGAAAACTTAACTGACACCACACATTCATAGTTTGTAGTAAATACTAGATTTACTTTAATGTATGTTAAAGAAAATTGAATAACATTGAATTGAATAAAAGGTAGTTAGTGTATTAATAAATAAATTAATTAATACAGGTGAATAGCCACTACTAATGTATTTTTGGTTTTCTTTTTCATCACTATAAAATGATATAAAAATAAAATGTCTCTAATTAGACTGTAGAAGCAATAAGAAACTAACAATATTGACCAAGCTACGAACATCAAATCATATAGGTAACCATGATATAAAATTGAAATTCTGCACTTAAAACGATGTTATCAATAAAATCAAACTTCCCAAAACATTTATCATTATGTTAATGTATAACACAATCTGTTATACATTCAAAACTTTACATATGTACATGTTTTTGACACATCTAAGTAAATATTTGTGGAATAGAGTGAGGAAGTACAGTAAATGAACACAGTATAACATTAAAACAACATGTTCAAAAGTATCTGCACGTTACGAGATTACCAAGTTATTAGAAATTAAGACTGGACTAATGGCAGCACTTTGCCATCGAGGTTATTTGTTATCAAACTTAGGATTCAGACATATTGAACAAGTCGTTTTATACATAATTAAAAAGTAAAATAAAACGCTTACCAATACTTCCACTATTCGTTAACTTCTTGTTGCTCTTAAGGGAACCATCCAAGTTATGATTATTAGAACTCTTATCGTTGTCACTGGCCATTGGGATAAACACCGTTAATATATAGATAAAAAAGTATCACAATAAACTATATGTTTCAAACATACTTGTTAGTTTCACTAGCATGTAAAAACAACTATAAAAGTACAAAAGCACTCTTTAAATCATGTTTACACCCTCAGTTGCAGACAGATGACAGAAAGTCAGACAGAAACTATAAAATCATAACAATTTACGATGCGTTCAGATTAATGAAAAAACAATAACTATCAAAAATAATTGACATAATAATGAATGAAACTGTATTATTTTAAGATGATGATATGAAAATAAAACACTTTGCAGTGTAGTTTATGCTTTCAGTGTTAAATATCTATATTTTTCTGCCAAATAAATACATATTTTCATTTTGATCCTCCCAAAAAAATTATTCAGAGAAAAATATAAAAAAAAATAATAAATAAAAAATATTTATTATATATAAAATAAATCATTAAGTTTTTATCCTATATTAGGATTATTTCACATAATATATAGCGAGATTCAGTTTATTTATTTGAACATAGAGCAGTTTTTTCCTATATTTAGGTATTAGGACATTCGTGCCCGTGGCCAACATTTTTCACTCGACTAAACTTAGGCGTTGAAAAACCGGTTATTTTTATCGATATGTATGGACCTCTCCTATTATCATCTATAGTTTATGCCTTTGAGTGTTGCAACACTAAAGTCGCGCATAAGTGCATCACCACATTCTCGTGTACGCTGTTGTTGATAAAAGCTATCTATGCTCGAGAAACTACGATCGAAAAATAACTTGCAAACTTTGAATGTTATTTTATTTTAACAATTGTGTTTATGAGCGAAACAAACGGTAGATTAGTGTACATTTACAATATTGTAAATAAAAGTAAAGTTTTGCTGATGTGATAGTCTTGAAATGTCATCTTATATGGCTGGAGTATTTGATTTAGATTTAGAAGTGGATGCTGTTGTGGTTGCAGATTCGGATGAAGACGACATAATCGAAGTTGATGAGGTATTAATACCATGATGTTTATAATTAGATACACCTCATTATTACTTAACCTAAAACCTGTTCCATATTCTCATGATTGTCAAGGATAAATTCGTCGTAGTTAAATTTATTTATTTTCGTGTACAATTTTATTATAGGTCAACCTTTTCGTGTATAATTATAGCTTGTCTAATGTATCTGGTGCTGATTGTTTGTGTTTTAGAAAGTTTACTAAAAATTCCAGACTTATTTTACGTGCACAATCACAAAACTAAAATATTTTAACGTGTTTCAGTTACAGGTGGATTATGAACCCGAGCTTCACGTAAATGCCATCGTAGAGTAAGTAAAAATAATAATGTTTGTAGTATTTTTGTCATGTGGTATTTAAATGTGAAAATAACTTTTTCTTTTTGTGTATTAGGACTGAAGATTCTGAAACTATCAATTTATCTGAAGATAATGTAAATCCAGGGCAATGTAGGCGTCTTGGTCCTCAAGACTTTGAATTACGCAAAGTTTTGGGCAAAGGGGGATATGGCAAAGTGTTTCAAGTCCGTAAAGTTACTGGTCCTGATGCTGGTGCTCACTTTGCTATGAAGGTTCTAAAAAAAGCCTCTATAGTACGCAACCAAAAAGATACTGCCCATACAAAGGCAGAAAGAAATATTTTAGAGGCTGTGAAGGTAAGCTAATGTCAGAAGTAAAATATTAATAAGTGTTGTTAAGTTTATACATGGCACATATGCAGTTAAAAATTATTGTTTATTACAGCACCCTTTTATAGTGGAGTTGGTATATGCTTTCCAAACTGGAGGCAAGTTATACTTAATATTAGAATACTTAAGTGGGGGTGAACTTTTCATGCATCTTGAACGTGAGGGTATATTCCTAGAAGATACAGCTGGGTAAGTTAGTTACAAGTAATTTTATACTTTATGTTAATGGGGTTAGACATATTATCTAAATTGTGTTTATTTTATTTCAGCTTCTATTTGTCAGAAATAATTTTGGCATTAGAACATTTACATAGCCTTGGTATAATTTATCGTGATCTAAAACCAGAAAATGTACTCTTGGATGCACAAGGTCATGTGAAACTGACTGATTTTGGATTATGCAAAGAACACATCCAAGAAGGAATAGTTACTCACACTTTCTGTGGAACAATTGAGTACATGTAAGTATCTAAAATTGTTTGTTAATATTTGTTGACCAATATTTATTATTACTGGAATCCTTGAAAGAGATAGTTAATACTTTTTGATGACCAAAGTCCTCATGACATTAGTGTGCATGAGTCATATAACAATGAAATTGTCCACTTCTCAACTAAGGCCTTCCATTAATTTACATGCACAGTTAATTTGTTGTTTTGTAAATTTAAGGGCGCCAGAGATTTTGACTCGAAGTGGCCATGGCAAAGCGGTAGATTGGTGGAGTCTTGGAGCTTTAATGTATGATATGCTCATTGGACAGGTTTGTGACATATATATATATATATTTTTTCGAAATATGTAAATTATAACAGAAAGTTTAGTAATTAGTTTGACAGTAAATTTATAAAAAAGGACACAAGGTATTGTTAGTTTAACACCTTTATGTAATCCCTCTAAGATAAATATACCACTAAATAACTTCGAATGCCTGCATTGGAAACTTTCTAGGATGACAGCAACCATATTTTGGCGGTTTGTGAGGCATATGATGTCAATATTTTAAATGTCTCGAACTATATTGTTGGTAACCATAATTGGTTAGTGTTGTATTGATAGGTTGTTAAGTTATTGTTGTTTTAGTTTGTGGCTATTCTAGTACCCTGAGCATAGTAACTTAAAAATCAAAATGCTGTTGTTGGCTTCTGATACTCTGCTAAATGTGCCATAACTATTAAGCTAAAGCATCAACAATGGCAAGTGAATCGAAAGCTTAAAGTAAAGAAAACTTAATGGATACTAAATTATGAAGATTACTCTGAACACGAAATATTGCACATTGTTAGTTTGACGCAACACACATCAGTACTTATACCTTTTTTTTTTGTAACGGCATAATTGAATTATTCTGCCATTAAAAAATGGAACGCTACAATTTGATAAAATTGTTAACGAAGTAATTACATTTCAGCCACCATTTACTGGGGATAATCGTACAAAAACTATAGAGAAAATATTAAAAGGTAAACTTATGCTTCCTGCCTACCTCACACAAGACGCCCGTGATTTGATACGGCGTTTAATGAAGCGTTCAGAGACTCAACGCTTAGGATCTCAGGGTGCTGCCGGAATTCGTGGGCATGCCTTTTTCAAACATGTTCATTGGGATGACGTGTTTAATAGAAGAGTGGAGCCACCAATCAAACCTAGACTGGTAAGACCAAATTTGGTTTTAGTACAATTTTACAAGGTTTTTTTACCTAGTTTAATAAAAAATGAAATACCATCACTTTACTCAAATAGACCCCGATTATTGTTCAATAGTTCTAGCCTAGCATGATTACAATATTTTTTAGCTCTTGTATGAAAATTATTCTTTTTCAGACAAGTGATGACGATGTCTCGCAGTTCGATACAAGATTTACTCTACAGACGCCAATCGATTCGCCTGATGAGTCTACACTTAGTGAAAGTGCCAATCTTATGTTCCAAGTAAGTAATAAAATAGTTTAAGAAATATTTCCAAAAAATAGTGCAGCCCATTGACACCATAGAAATCATAAGTGTGTTGCTGATATTTTTAAGAGTCTGCTCTTTTTCTTGAAGGTATTGGTTCGGTAATAACAGTTTCTTCCATTTTCTGTGTTAAACTGAAAATGTCGAAAAACACGCATAGTTATTGATGTTGTCTATATAGATAGTGGTGGTGAAACTGCTATCGCACGGAACGGTTCAGGTCATGTTTGGCCATGTTTGAGTTGTTACTCCACGGGGCGAAAGAAGATAGACATCACAACAACTGTGCCAAAAGGACCAGCCGGTTTGTGTGATCAATGTGAATTAATTTGCAACAAATCATTAATATTGAGTAGAGAGAGAGAGTAGCCACGGAGCCTTGAGAGACGACGCCAGCATTTACAAACTTGAGAGTTAGATGCCTTTGTCTGGAAAGAAACCGGAGCCCCAGTCGCACAATGTCTCGGGAAGCTCGTAAGGCCAACTTCGAAAGAAGCACTTCGTGCTTGACCCCACCGAAAGCCTTTGCTACGTCCAAACTAACAGTCAAGGCTAACTGTCCTTAGTCATCTTCTTAACCCGTCGAGCGTCCGCGTTCCTTATACATTTCCTTATCCTTATGCATGCAAGAAAATGCATTTATTTGGTCATTGGCACACGAAAACAAGGATCATTAAAATAGAAATAAAACAAATATAGTCAAAATAAAAACAAAACATTAATAATAGATTTTATAAAAGAGAAAGCAACATGAAGCATTTTTTCTTATGATACACCGGGTGCTCATAAGAGGGGTTAGAATTAGTTTTTGTACCTCTAGCTGTTTTCTTAAGACTGCATAAGTACTTACCTATTGTATGTTATGTGAAAAATCTAAACAAAAATATTAAAGTAATGATTTTTCAGGGCTTTACTTACGTGGCGCCTTCTGTACTGGACGAGATTCATAAACCGCGTGTTGTGACTGCACGTTCACCGCGGCGCCCGAGACTTCAACACCACCACTTCACCATACCTCCGGCTTCCGCTCACTCCCATGCTCAACATGAAGACCTCATGGACGTTCAAGGTTTACCTATATAGTAAGTACCTACCTTTAGTAATAATTGAAAAATGAGAATAGATAAGTGTTGTGTTAATTTAACTACTGGTATGTATTAATTTAATAAAGCGGGTTTACCTCTCCTGTTAACTTTGTTACATAGATATTCTGAAGTTAAATCATAATAAGTATGAGTCAATTTTTAGGGCATATATTAAAACTTCACATGAGTGCATGTGTGCGGGTAGGTGTCTATCCGTGCGTTGAGTAGCAATAGCATTACTCAATACATCTTCTATTTCTACCTCTGCCTATCTTAAATATCATACTATTTTTGAGTACGTGAACACCCGCACGAGTTTTAGTGTACGCCCTTCGAGGTTGTAACATTGTTTTCGAATGTTGTTTCAGAATAAATGACTCCTTTGTGTTTTAATTTCATTTCATAAGTAGTTTGAACAAATTATGTAAGTACATTAAAATTTTGCAGCATTGATGTTATTGTTTAACTATGTTCATTCACTGATATATTTTTATCCTGATTTTATTTTTATACAGCATTATAGTTTCAATTTAAAAGGAATTGTTTCTCATGTGAAGTGCTCTAGTTAATTTTTTGAAAACCACGCGAGGCCCGCCAAAACTAACATTAGTTAATAAATATAGAAAATGAATTAATACATAGGTTAGATATAATTTTAGTATAACACTATAATTTAATTTTATTTCATTTCTGATTATTGTGTCTCTTCTTTACACTTTTTGGTCATTTTCAGTTTGAGTAATTGATACCCAGATTGTCATTGTTTACTTTTATATAATCTGTACAATATTATTTCCGTTTTTATTGTAGTTTATTATAATCAAACGAACTTCCTACAAAATGCTTATGAGAATTGGAATGCAATAATAATGTTTAACTATATTATATCGTAATAAAGATATTGTGTTTAAATTATAAGATGATTGTTATTTGTGAGTAAAATATTAAAGGGTATAAACACAAGCATGTCTTAAATATGGATCAAGTGCTGCGTCGTATTAGTGATATTTACTGATTGTACAGATTATACTATATGCCTTAATACATTACACAAGAGTTGTTGACTATTACAAGTATAGAATTGACTGAAAAGCTTTTATTTTCAGGCCTAGAGTAAATTCATATAGTTGACCATTTTATGCTAAGGATGAATTCAACTACAAAAGATGCCCATATAATATCGGAATAAATGGTACTGTTTTATACTACATATTATAATAAATGTACATTTTATACAAGTTACCGTTTAGTCTAATCTTTTGGTAGGAAGTAATCACGTGTAAAAGATGTTCTAACCCCGATATGACAAAAATAATAATTTACAATATACCTTGTTACCATGCTTCATGAATTGATTAAAATGTCATTTTTTATTTTGTAACCAAGAGTTTTTTTTAATAACCCCAAATCTCCAAATACAGTGATCAAATAAGTTTACTAATAATTTATTACAAAAATATTAAATTGCTGTTTTCATAACATGCAATAAGTAGAATATTACACTCATTCATAGGGGAGCCCTGAATAGATTGGATTTATTATATATTTATTCAATATATATTTATTATATTCAATAGGATGACTAGGTATTCCATATTTAACAGATGAAAGAACAAATACTAAATAAGGCACAACATTTACTTCATCTAGACAACTAATTTTATAGCTAGTAATTATTTAAATATTCCCATTAGAAAGAAAATGGTCTGGCTGGGGTAACGTTACCCCAGCAGGAAATGTTTTTGTGAAATAATTAAAAAACTATATACATATATAACAAATTTAAAAATGTGAGTCTGCAAAACTAATTATTATATTTATCTATAAGATTCAAATGACCATTTTCGACATCTGGCGTGGGTAACGCACACCCAAAATACCTTCATGGTCATGGGCTCCCCTACTACATGTCTATGTAGTAGTGATTAAACAATAATAGAATTAGCATTTTATATTTACATACATACAAACAACCTTACGCCTGTCTCCCACGGAGTTAGGAAGACAGGAATGCCAATTGCTACGATAATAACGAGACTTATTTATTTATTGAATTAGGGTCTCCAACAAGGAATACACTTAGCACACACGAGTAGCATTACAAAAATTAAAAGCTATGTGCTTCCTCAATTATAGGAGGCCACAACATGCAAAAAATCATAAAAATATACATAAAACTGGCAATACAAATTAAAAGTTAAAATTAAATTAAACTAAAAACAATACAAAATGTCAAAAATATGGCAAAAATATGTATAAGACTTATACATATTTTTGCCATATTTATATATAAGACTTACGATGCCGATGCCTGTTGAGGAAGCGAATGAAATATGTTAGAATCATAGCTATTGGCGTTCCATTTTATACTTAAAATATACTTATATACTTTCATATCACAGACTTAAAACTACTTTGTTTCATAAAAATATTATACGATTTATTACTAAATAATCACATTTAAAATGCTGGCTACAAATCTAGAAAAAATTTAACATAGGTTTAAGTTCAGTATTAAGTTTACAAAAAATATCTAACTGATCAACAGTGAGCATGTCTTTATTTGACTTAGGGCTGATTTCTCTAACACTAGATAATTTTATCGGAGGAATAATATTGAATTTTTGATAATTCTTCCATACAAAAACTCAGGTATCAATTTTATTCCTTCCTTTTCCTTTTATCCTATTCCTTGATTTTAAAATTAGCCCTTATAAAAATGAAAGAAAAACAGTAGATAACAGAACAAGAATTAATAGCTACTATGTACACATTTATTTCTCACTGGTGGAATTATTTGTCAAATCAATTTGCCAAATTTTCTTTTTATATTATTAATTTCATTTCAGAACAACTTTCACAAATAAGGTAAATATGACTTTCATTTTCTTCTGAAACTAAACCAAATTGCACATCACTGTTACATGAAGCATTATGTGCTTCCAAAGAAGTTAAAAGAGATTTTTTAATATTGGGAAGTGAGAGTTTCGTCTTTATATTGCTCTTGCAGTTGGAACAGGTCAGATGTTCACTTTGAAGCTGAAGATTGGTTTTCTGGCACACAGGACATATGACATTATTATCTTCTTCTACTAAAGACCAATCAACATTTTCCTGCTGGCTTTTTTCATACTCTTTGATGCACCTAAAACAATGATTGGAGAGATAATATTTAGCTTAAAAATTAAAAACAATATGGGGAAGTCCCCATTAAGAAGTCTTTATCATCATCATAACATCGCGCCTTTAACCCCAGAAGATTAGGCAGAGGTGCACATTACGGCAGTTAGTACAATGTAACACCACTCGGACTATACTTAGCCCAATCTGCGAATTGAACCCACCCCTTGCCCGGCATTTGCACTTGCTACTACTTGGCCTACGAAGCTATCTTTTATTTAAATTGAAATTTAGGCCCACTATTTAGTATTGCAATAATATTTGACAGTCTACTTTATTATTACATAACATAGCATAACATCACGCCTTTTACCCCGAAGGGGTAGGCAGAGGTGCACACAGAAGTAACACCCACTTTTCACTATTTATTAGTCCCATGTAATACTTTATTATTGTATCAAATATTAATCGTACCACTCTAACTCTTCTTGCACCAGTTCATTTTTGAGTTCCTCCATAAGCTCATATTCTTCATCACTGATAATTTCATCACAGAAATTAAACATAGATTTGTATATATCTGTTAGGGCAGTGCATAAATCTTCCTCTATTAGGGACCCTCTCAGTTTATCCAACAGCATAACACGGCAGTTTTGAATTTTATTTTTGTAATTCTGAAATATAAAACAGTATTTACTTTTGGAAAATACGTCTCATTATTCAAAAGGTAACAATAAGTTTGACTAGCCATTCAAACGATAGAATTCACTCACTCCTACAAACGTTCGACTTCGACCTCCGAATAGTTAACGAAAGTCTATCGTTTAACTTAAATCTTATCAGGAACCAGGGATAAGAACAAGTTTATTGACAGTCTACTCTAACCTACATTGAATTGATTACGAAAAAAACCACTAAAAATTAAACAGATTTATACTTTAATCCAACACAGAAGCGTCTTTTACTAGATTTTATTTACCTTCCTCATTTTCTCCTTTATTTCTACAGGAGATCGTTTTGGTCCACTCTCCAAATGCTTGAATCTTGGTGACGAGGTCATTTTAATACAAAATAAAAACTAAATAAATACTAGATACTCGAATTAATAGAAATACAATACTGATGAAATATTGGCGCAAATAAATCTATAGTTTGAAAATTACTCTATCTGTCATACGTCATTAATTATTAATGTCACTCAACTTAAAAGATAGTGATAGTAATAGATTTTAAAGACATGAATTAGTCAGCAGACGAATCGATAATATCAATCATGCACATGCGTGATAAACCATTTAAGTCTAATTAAGGCGCCAAAATCTATGTAGGTGAGAAATTTTACAACGCGAAAGAGCTATAAGCTGTTGTGTCCAAACAATCTATTATAAAAAAAGTTCATACACGCAGCTGTTGTTACTTGACAGTTGTAGGCTTAAAGATTACAATTATAATTACATGCTCTGTGATTACAATGTTGGATGGTGAATGGGTCCTATCATATTTATTTGTCAATGTTATCAGCATGAAAATTAAATTGAAAATAATAGAATGATTTCCTCAGTGTAGCAACATTAGCTGTCAGATGAAAAAAACAATGTGTGAGTGTGAGTGATAAGTAAAAATATGGACAAGTCCAAAAGTTGATAGACCTTTTATCAAACGTAATTCAATAAAACTTCAAGTTATAATTTACAACTTTGGCACACATCTGTATTCACACCATCAAAATGAACGATGTTGACAAACGGCAATCCCGACCAGAGAAGGAGACTATACACTCGGGACACTTTATGGTGTCACATTTTGAAGCTGAAGCCCAAGACGACTTTGATGACTTGGTCACAGTGCCCGAAGAAGATGAGAAACAAAATATACAGAAAGTTACAGCTGTGGCAACTTATACAGTACCCGGGGCGATGATACCTTATCCTCCTGATAAAGAGGAAAGTGTTCAGCACCAACAACTTTCTATAGAGATATCTTTGACAAAATTATTCAAATGTATGACTTTGGCTTACAGGTGAGTCCTCACATGTTTATATTGCCATAGATGATTATAGAATAGACATACTCTAGCTGTTAATTGGCATTGATGTTTTCCTGGTACATGTTTAGTTGAACATGCTTAACTTACGTATTTCGTCGCATATTTGTTACATATTATCTTAATTACAAACAAGATCTTACTCGAGAATGGAAATAGCTGACAAATATTGACAAACTCAAGTATTAAGTATTATTTATGATTTTAATGATTAACTGGAGGACATATTATTTGTATTTTTAAATATACCAAATCCGCTGGTGTATGTAAGAAATATGTTTAAATTTTTGGTAGCAGGGAGCATGGTATAGGCTTGTGATATTTATTGTAATAATATCAAAACATCTTATCAGTAAAGCATCAAATGTTCTCTAAAAATAAGGAAACAGTATGTTTCCATTGGGTTTAGCGTGCAAAGATAAGAGGAGGTCATCATAGTCAGTACAAAAGACACAGGTCATATGCTGAGATAAGTCAGTCTATGAATACTTACTTAGTTATAAATAATTTACTTTTCATTTTATAACTGATTTAAGTAGTGTAGCTCTGCACTATTATGACTGTATTCACTATATTTAACTAATGTTACTCCCCTATGAACATATATTTTCAAGTGATAGAACTAAAGTGTTTAAAAATTAACCTTTATACTTGGTACCACAGGCAGAATACAGATATACAGAGTAGAGAATTGGTAAACATGCTATGAAGTAATGAATTTGCGTGATACTTCAGTTATTAATTATTATGTAATATTAAACAAATTTAATGTATGATATATTAAAGAAATCCTGGACATAGAAAGAATTGTCTGCATATTTCTAGTACTGTAGTGGATAAAATTATTGGCATAATAAACATTTCTAATTGGAAAGTAACATGTTTTAGAAGGACGGGCCAATTTTGATATTGGTAGACTTATATTTAATCTAGACTTTAGTTTCCAAAAATTAAAATGAAGTAACTGTGTATATTGATAGTGTATAGTAAAATTATTTGTAATTTTTCTGTATTTTTATAAATAGGTACATTAGACTTAGTTTTTTTATTAATATATGCCGATGAAATGGGTAGTGTTACAATATACGTCTTATATATTAAAAAATTTTAAACTCAAACGAAACTATTACATTAATTGGTGAGTTAAAAGTGGAACTCCAATTAAGTAATGGAATTATTTACTTAGGTACTGTTAATTACTTATTAATTTATGTATAATATGTAAGTAGATGCCAACCTTTGTTTTTGTCAAGGTCTCTTCTTTCCTAACTACATTTAGGTATATTTATTGTAATTAAAACAATAGATCATTAGAGCTGTCCAGCAAACAGCATTTATTGAGTGGTCTTTAAAAAGAAGTCCTAAATAAAAACAATTATACTCAAACATATAATTTAGATAGCTAATGTCTTTTATCAAAATAGTGTGCATTTCATTGCCAAGCATCTTACGGTATATCAATAAATCTGATTCTACAGAGCATGTCCGGCGAGATGGTCATCAAAAGCAATCCTATGAAGTATAAAAATGCCTCTAGTGAAATGGAATACATGGAGTCATCCTAACTCACTCATTCAATCAGAAATCACTTCATAATATAAACCTAAAAATGTTTGTAACATTTTCTTAAAATAAAATCATAGTTAATGCAGTTAATTCACGGACTTCGGTCTCCGAGAGAAAACAACCGGGAAGTGGGATGGACGAGTTAATAGATTTTCCTTAAAATTACGTAGCACATTCCACTGTGGGAGAGCCATGCTTCGGCAAGAATGAGCTCGACCGGGATAATACCACGGCTTCACAGAAAAATGACGTGAAGCAACGCTTGCATTGTGTTTTGTCGTGTGAGTGAGGTTACCAGAGGTCCAATTACCCCACTTCCCTTCCCCAATCTCCCCAATCCCTGAATCCCCAACGATCCTTAATCTCCTAATCCCCAAAAGGCCGGTAACGCACTTGTATCGCCTCTGGTGTTCCAGGTTTCCATGGGCGACGCCGATTGCTTACCATCAAGTGATCCGTCTGCTCGTTTACCGGCTTATGCCATAACAAAAAACAAGAGCAAAATGTAGTCTTATCCACTTTAACAATGGTCATCCGCTTTAATCAACTTTTAAATTCTTATCGCCATTGTTGCACCCGGGTGTCCACCCTTACACATACATGCGCGGGACTGTAGAAATTCGAGTTCTTCCTTCTACTGCTTACACGAGTTCGCCTTACCGCTACTGAGCGAAGGAATTAGGTGTTGAATTATCCCAACTCCCTCAAACACACATACCTACTCCAATTTTTTGTTGTGATCACAGATATAATATATTTCCGTGGTTGTGACTACGGTCCTGCGGTTTGCAAACTTCTTTACTTTATGGAATTTGTTTAAGCATTGCATGTATTATTTTATTTGAATTGGACAAACTTAGTAGATAGTAAATTAATGACACAAACTTTACCGCTAACCGGCGCCCGCCAGCTTCACTGATGGTGCATTCATAAACAATTATTTGGTCATTATTTGGAGGAGTTAATAGATTTTGGTTAGATAATATATCTAGTTTTGTCGGAAATGTAGAAACGAAATTTAAGACTTTGACTGCTAATAAAAAACTGGTGAAGGTAAATCCTCCGCTAACGCCGGTCACCGGTGACCCCCATGGTGTTTGACGTGTTAAACTATTCAGGCATAGCTAACTACCTCGTACTATTTTAATTATTAAGTTACTTTAACATGATTCATATGTGTATCACGAGAAGGAGATTTACTATGATACTTATACTATTTTATAAGGGTAGGGCCACCACCAGAACCAGATATGTTGAAGTAGTGATTATAGTTGTTAGTTAATCGGAGACCAATTTCTGTGAACCGCAGTGTCTTATGAGCCTTTAAGGTTTTTAAAGCACTACAGGCGCTAGAAAGATAGGGATCGAAACATTCTTAACTGCTTTATAATTGTAGTCAAGTAGTGGTAAATGTTCATCAAATTGATAACTATGAGAACACCTACAAAATGACGAGTGTGCCTACGTAACAGATTATGACGTGAATTAATCGTATGTAAAAGCGCTATCCATAAAGTAGTGCCTGCTACAAGTAGGTACTCCGCCGAGCCTGCTGAATCCTGTAATTTATTGATAACTATATCAAATTTATTGTAACAAATCGCTTTTCTAATTTACCTTCTGCCTCTTATTTGTACAAGTAGAAACTGCAGATAAGATACGCTATGTTTCTTTCTTATCAAACTGTTATTTGCTATAAGCTTAAGATCACAAATTGATAGCGATGTTGATAACCAGCTTACCACTTGATTGTCTGACAATTTATTTCCACTGTGCAGCACAGTCTTGTAATATTGTCTACAATTTTGACAAATATTTCTTTTTATTTTTTATAATCATGGAGTTTATTTTTAACAACGTAAAAATGCTACTCCTTAGTTCAAGGACCTTTATAGTCAACATTTTTATGATAGTTCAGTTATCTAATGTTAGTTTGTGACGGGTGTATAATTGTATATAGGAAGAGCATGGTGAGTTCATATTTTTCTTAACATAATTATGTATTCGTATTGTTTTTCTCAGACAAAAGTTAACGTCTCCAAAATGGAATCGTTTTAAAGGTATAAAACTTCGGTGGAAGGACAAGATTCGATTAAACAACGTCATATGGCGGTGCTGGCATATGCAATGTAAGTATTAAATGAAATCTTATAAATATAAACCAATTATAGGTATACCTATAATTTGTCTCGCTTTTATTACTTTTCTGTAACTGTACTCTTCAAGTTTGTCCGGGCCGGGACGATCCTCCCAGTAATAAGCTTTTGTTGACAAAATTTTTTGTGCAAACTTGTCTTTGACAATTTTACTACGTGCGTATGCGTATATTTACTTTACCTAAGTATATTTTATCTGTAACTATGCGACAACTTCTAATTTGTTGTAATAAATAGAAATTTTATAAAAAAATGAGTCATCTCCTCTCATGTGCGGCTTGCGTGATCGGTCCACCGCGCCTTTGGACTTGAAATGCTAATTTTAAGCGAGGTGCTTCGGCGTCTTGTATGTAGATGTCGTAGGCTCGATTCGAGGTTCTTAATATAACATGTTAAATTGTTTATGGTGGCTCTGAAAATAGAACCCAAAAAAAGGTCGCCATGCGAGAGACGCGTGTTAAAAGCAATATTTTTGATAATGGCGCTGATATGAGATTGGTTGTAGGCGCGTTAGTTTTGTACAAACAATTATTGTCTGGGAAATTATACACCTGTTGATGTACTTAGCTGCAAAAATTTCTGGATCACCTATATAGGTATAAGATAGAGGAGATAACGGTGACCCCGCACTGGACATAAAAATAAAGACAAGGTTGATTTATATTTGAATACTGCTACTACGGCGATATAATGCACATTTAGGTACCTATATCAATTTGAATAAAATTATTTTGTTATGCTGTTCAATTCAGTAATTCTCTTGGAGATCGATTGATGTGGTGTACGCATTTAAAAAATATGTACGGGGATGAAACGTGTTCGGTTTAAACCAGTTTTAAGCAGCTCATTACATAAATAGTTGAAATTATTACAAACCCGTTGTGGAGTGTTGTTTAATTTTATTTATTGTTATTTTTTCGTTTTTGGTGTTGTAGATATTTTTATCATAAACCACGCCCACTTTTGAAACGAAGGTGTGTCGACTGTTGAGTTTTAAGATGTGAACATTTTATCGCATCCATATCTAGTTGAGTAATAAATTATGTATGATATAGAAAAGCTTCAGATTTATGCAAGTTGAACCTTATGTGTACGTGATTAAGAATTTATCTATGCCTTATGTATGTAGAATACCGAAGTGGGACAAATATGTAATCTATTTCATCTATCAGTATAGTTGAGCAGCACTTGTCTCGATATTAATGAAACGCCAAATGCCCAGAAGGAGGTGTGATGTAATTGATGACAATGTTCACACACTGATATCGTCTATTGACACCTTCGGTATCGAGGGTACCTGGCGATAATAAAATGCTAACACTTGTGCTATTTTAGTGATCGAAGCAATGAAATTATAATACACAAATTATTTTTTCCAGTCATAAAGAAACAAAATACTTTGGTATGCCAATTCGCTTCCCCGTTAGATGTTGACACACACGTAAAACCAGAGGTAAAGTATACAAACTGTTTTTCGTATACATTTTGCTATACATAATATATTCTGAACTGAAATTTTAATAACTGAACGTAATTATATTTTAGGCAACAATATTAGAAGGTAAATATTGGAAACGGAGAGCAGAGGCGGTTATAGCAGAATATAAAAAATGGCGCAAGTTTCATATAATGCGACTCCTTGGAAAAGGAGACACATCGGTCCAGGACACGGTAGGCATCATTATAATTCACTATGATATAATTTATTAGTTTACTATTTAAATATGTCGTTGATACTAATGGGAATTCTTCAGATATCGGATATGGACACGGTGGAATCGTTCTCACAGTGCAGCGACCTAGCAGGCAATATGCTCACAGACGAGGACTACCTCAACTTCATGACTGACACACTCTTTTCCACCATCAGCAGCCACCAACCCTTCGCCTTCCCGGACTGCAGGGAAATAGGTCAGTTACCTATACAAGTTTAATGGAAAAATGATGTCGAGAGTCCATCAACTAATCGTGAATCAATTAAAAAAAACTTATTCACAATTTCAGCTAGAGGCGCAAGTTTAGCAGACTTCATACAACCAAGTTTAGGTCCTCTACAACCCAATCTTGATGATTTTATGGACACATTGGAACCACTTCAAGGTAAATATTGGTATTCATTTGTAAATTATTTATATTTAATATCCATCATTTGTTTAAGTGTTTGTTTACTATTTATTTCTGTGTTTCAGATTTGTTGACGCCCAGACCGCTACCGCCAGTACCCGAAGAATCCGCGTTGCCCTCCGACGACTCAATGTACCGCGGGGCTATGTCAGTGGACACATACTCGTCACAGAACTTCATGACCAGCAACCAGAGCAACACAGCGGTCACGATGCCCACCAGTCAGATGTCTCTGCACGGTATACTATTTTTAGATTCCGCTTTACACAATAATGACGCGTGAATTCAAGCGTCAAACGTATCAATGTCATAAAAGAAATTCGATTGTCATCATGAAACGCGAAAAGCTTTATGACTACTCAAGATATACGGAATAACACAACTTGAGCACGTGCAACATGTAAATAACCGAAGCACGCCCTCTTTTCCAGGGACAACCAACAATACTCAAATGATGTCGATGGCTGAGCAAACAATAAAGAATGAGCAGCAGATGGGAATGTACGATAACGGCAGGCTGTTCTCCCAGTCCGACATGCAGAACAATATGATGAATGCTCAAGAGATGCTGTCTCCGTATCAACAGATTACTTATGAACAGCAGAATACGCCACAGTCCGACCAACAAATGCATAATGTTTATGTTGGAAAGTCATCTCGGCTACAATATGTTAACACTCCCAAACTTGTAACGCAGACGGACCCCTGCTATAATCAATATAATAAAGGTTTGTAAATTATTCTGACATATCAAATGATCATCTTTGATGTTTTTTGCCATAAACGATGTATGGTTACAGGTGTACCACCTTCACAAACTGCGCCAGAAACAGTATCGTTGCTACAGCAACCAATACAAAATTCTAAGTACGCGTCCACTATAGTAATACAGGGGCGTGGAGGCTACAGCAGAGAGAAGCCCAGGCAGAGAGTGTCCCACTACTCGGGCCAAGTCCAGAGTAACCAGTACCAGAATTACGGGCAGGCCATGAGTCAGTCGGCGCCGCCGGTGTCCCCACAGGGCTACGAGTCTCGCGCGGTAAGCTCGCGCCAGACCTCGCCGCAGATGCAGTACTTGCAGCCAAGTCCCGTGGACTCGTATAAGACTAAGCCTTCTTCTTCTACGGTTAACCCACGCTCGTTTAAGATGCCTTCGCCGCCGTTAGTGCCCGCAGCAGCTCCACAGGTGAGGACTAGTGATTATTTACTACACTCGAATACACAGAACAGTGTACAGTAGTGTGAGGTCCCACCGTGTGTTTCGTGTGTAGATGTCGAGCGTGGGCTCCAGTTCCGGCGCGGGCCGCGTCAACAAGGAACAGTATCGCTCGCACAGCCTGCCGCTGGGCTCGCAGCTGAACCCCGACTGGACAGTCAGTGCGCCCGCGCAGCCCGCGCCGCCCGCGCCCTCCGCTCTAGACGTCTCCGTCGCTAAGCATAACGCGAGGGTATGAGTTTTGAGGTTTTTTACCAGTATTATCTTATTCCAGAGTAAAACTCCCGGAGTAAGCCGTTTATGTCTTCGTGCATCGAGCTTATCAAGTTTAGAATTGCTACCTACCCAAAAATTTTAATTTAAACTGTTTGCAATGGATTTACTACAGGTTTCCTTTATATGACCAACAGATGTCTGTGGAAGTGAAGAGCGATTTAATCGCTCGTATCCTCGTGCAATGAAATCTCGGCAATCACTCGAATCATTTGAAATGGTAAGTACAGGTGTACGTGTAACGTACAAAGTTGACAATTTGCAGGCTCGCGAGTCGAACCCGGGTGCCATTCGCATTCGGTCTCGCTCTACGTCGAGCGGCGTGGTGGAAGGCGAGGCACGCGACGGCGGCGCGGTGGGCGGGGCGGCGGGCGTGGCTGCGGCGGGGCGCCGCCCCCCGCCACTCAACAGCGTGGCGTCCGAGCCCACGCTGCCGCAAGCTAGCGTTATGCTCGCTCAGCTGCTCTCAGCGCAACACTGTCAGTCTATACGCCACTTACTTATTATGTCTCTGTCTGCGAACCTTCCACTGCTTGGTTATACATCGGACTTACGACGACTAGTATTGAGTAAAAAAATATCATGTAAAACAAACGAACGACTTGAAATCAAATTATTCAGTACGTCACCTAGGATTCCGATGTGTATCCAATATAATAGGCCCGTGACTTGCGCTGAATGGGGATGTTTTTATGATTACAGCTCAGAGTATGTACAAGCTGAACAATAGCGAGGAGGGAACTGGGTCTGACCCCACCAAGTCGCCAGTCAGGAGGGGTCAGCCATCGCCTATTGGTAGCGATATCATGTCCCCGCACCAGGTGAGGAAACAAACAGCTACGAATCAGTTATTAAAAGCTGTCCAAGTAACTAATGGACTGAACTAATTTGACAGGCAAATTGTCAAAAGCATCAGTCAGTTGAACAATTACTCGACATTAACTAGTAGTGTAGTTAGGAGGCTTTGAAATCATAATTTTTGATTGGCATCTGTGGTTACTAGTTCAGGGTCGAAAACTATCGTTGACTGTGATATTCTGCATCCATGGCAAGCTACTGACTGTAGATAACGAACAGCTACTGGTTGTCTACTAGGCGTGTAGATTTCTTGGGCAATATAGGGGAGCACTAAGATTTTACAAGTAAACAGTGACGAGGGCGAAACTGAGATCGATACAATTTTACTGACCTGATTATTTAGTATACAACACATTTGCTTTATACAGTGTCCCTTAAGTCGACGATCACAAGGCACCAAGTCATCGGCAAGGTTCCAAGAGTTATCAGAAAAATATATATAAAAAAATGTGCTGTACTAGTAGTGGCAGATTTCACCAAATATAATAAGGATTCTAAAATGATATACCACTCCCTACATTATTTCTTAATTAAATATGACACAAAAAACATTTTTGAACGAAACTCCATTTCGAACAATTTATTTGGACTTACTAAATTTCTGCCAGTCTGCCAAAAGTGCATCTAAAAACCTCGTATCCATCAGGTAACACTTAACACGTGGCATGGCATCATCATGTTGCTAAACATGTTGGAAGTCAGCGAGGATTTCTTGTTAAGCCACATTGTCTGTCTTCTCATGATTCACTCGCAACATTCGTCGACAATATTGTCGCTAGAGGAACAAATGTTGTGGATTACATCTCACTGAAGAACATCTTGAAACCTTGCCGATCGCCTGGTGTCATTTGATCGTCGACCTCAGGGACACCCTGTATGAGTACTAAATGGCAGTGATATGTGTTAAGAATAAATAGAAGTGAGCAAACGGTCGATATGTCTCAGTCGCTGTCCCCGCCGGCGTCCCCCGGCGGCGGCCCCGGGTCCCCGCGCGGCGGGTCCCCGCGCGAGGCCCGCCGCACCCACCTGCACGCCGAGCAGAAGCGGAGGTACAACATCAAGAACGGATTCGACACGCTGCAGGCACTCATACCGCACCTCAATACCAACCCCGCCGCCAAGGTAATTAGCCTTTACTCTACGTAATACATACAGCTAACAAAAAAAAAAAATATTTAAAAAAGTTGTACCTTAGACCTCTTAAGCTTTTTATGGTATAGCATCCAAAGATTGCATTTTAGTAATCTAACACGTTGACCTTAACGCCCCTAAAATGCAGAAATTCTAAAATCACTAAATGGTTTCAACGACAACGATGCAACTAACTTTAATGAATATAAAATAAATTGTATTTTGTCATTCTTAGATAAGTAAAGCTGCCATGCTGCAGAAAGGTGCCGAGTATATCAAACAGTTGAAAGCTGAGAGAAATCAAATTAAAGAGGAGATGGAAAGTCTACGACAGCAAATAGAATGCTTAAATAATTCTATCACGTAAGTATACACCACCTCTATTCCAAATCTTGTCTCAAAATTGATTAATTGATTGCTACATGTTTATGAATGGCAGTTAAGACCTTTTTATTTGTGTAAATCTTGTATATTATGTATGGGGATTACTCTGAGATCTAACGATTGCTCCAAAAATACTGAAAGAGTTCTACAAATCGGACTTAATGTAGAATAAGACTGCAGAATAGTGAGATGTGTCTAATTTTCATTTTTTTATAAAGAGATCAGATATTTAGAAGTCATATATTATTATTTTAAGAATTTGTAATTATATGTTTTGCGAAATAAAATTCGGATAAATGTTGGTTAAAGAGGTGTGGTATTGTTGCAGCAACTGTCACTCGTTGTTGCCTGCGACAGGCGCGCCCGTGTCGCGCGCGCGCTCCGGCAGACTGCGCGAGATGTTCGCGCGACATGTCGCCAACCGCACCATGCACAACTGGAAGTATTGGCTCGTATCCTTTACAAATACATCGGCGTCAACACGTCTACTGCTAGACAATGTCCTCCCTCTATTACGAAAGAGGGAGGCCAGCGCAGCAGAAATTTGGTAGAGGATGGTAACATAATATACAAGCCATACATGAAAGTCTCTACACACCATTCAAACAACTAGTAAAATTAGTTAGGCACAAGAACCTTCATAGATTAGTGTTTTAGACTTTAATGCATTGTAAGAGACTAAAGCAATTGAGATAAAGGTTTTCACGTGAAAAGACTTTTCAAAGTCGACACTTAATAATGTAGTTTCATCAGATTAACTCGGTAAATATTTCACCACCTACGGCGTGTGTCAAGACAAATAAACCGCAATACAGTGGAAATCAGTCGCGTTGCGTCACGAAGTGACTGACATAACAAATATGTGAATACTAGAAATAATTGCGATTTCTGTGTTTTGTGGTCCTATTAATTTTCTTCTAATTGTCTTTAATTTGGTCTATTGTTATTCTACTTCAACTCTTGTGTTAAGCAGGCAATCAAGCAAGCTTCTATGTTGAGATATTAAGGGTTCATGGAAGTCTCGAAAATTTAACAATTTTTTTAGCAAAGTAACGCCAATCCTTAATAATAATACAAAATTGCGTTATTTTGTACATGTACAATTGTATAGAGTACTTGCAACGAAACAATAAAAAGAAGTATTTCCTTGATATTGTCATAGAAATCGTTATCAGTGTAAACATACAGTAATTTGGCATGAAGCATGCGGTCGCCACAAGGTAGTCTCGTGAGGGCTTCTGATCGAGGACACTGATAGATAACATGTTATCGTACTTGTTTTGTCGGTAGACATGCATTTTTTGCTATTCATCAATTTTTTTACTCAGCTCGCGCTATGCCTACGTCAATGATAACGAACCAGATAGCGACCAATATACGCCTGCTTTATAAATATAAGCTTATTTATCACATGAACAATGCTTATCTTCTAACCATGTGCTATTATTGATGTAGGAGTGTATTTTCCGGATAGTAACAAGTATTATATATAGGTGTTAGATGATAAAATCCTAGCGACTGGTGGCCTATCACAATAATCAGTATTCTAGATATACATAGTAGAGTGGAATCCCATTACTACGTCTATGAGATTGTCGTAGGTACCTTGAGAAACATATTGTATGTAATCTGACCCATGTTAATAGAATTTTGATTTCAATAATTGAAATCTAGGTAATTTTCGGTGGTCCATGTCTGGTGGCGAATAAATTATTTTTCTTTCTTTCTTTCTATACAAGATTTTTAATGCTATCAAAAGAAGGCAAAGTTCCATAAAACCTTGCCTATGATTAGGTTCATATTATGCAAAAGTTTCCTTAGCAAGGCGTACAGTTCAGCGTAGTGAGCGCGGCGCTGGTGGAGTCGTTCAGTGCGTGCGTGTCGTGCAGCAGTGCGGCCGACCTCGTGCGCACCACGCTGCTGTGGGCCGAGCAGCACTGCTCGCTGGTGGAGATGCGGCCCGGTACGTGGCCGTGTATGTGTACGTGTACGTGTCCGTCGTGTGTCTGTCTGTGTAACGTGTGTCCTGTCCACAGCGGTCCTGAACTCGCTGCGCGTGCTGTGCACGACGACGGACATCCTGACGAGCCCCGAGCGCCTGGCGGACGAGGCGCGCGCCGCCGTGGCAGCCAGCGCCGCCGTCAAGACCGAGCCTACCTAGCGGCCTAGCATCAACTCGGGTTATTACTAGATTACTTGTTATAGAGTGCGTGTCGATACTAAATGTTAAATAGTCGACCTACATATCAAACTTTAAATATGAAAAAATATCAAACCGCGCATTGTGAGGTCGGTCTTCTTACCATGTTGTTATTATTTATTTGTATTCAAATATATTTCAGAGCAAATTGTGTTACATATTTCGATCCACGTTTGCCTTAATTTTGACTCCGCCACTTACTTTTATTTAAATACCTCACTAAAAGTATAATTTTGGAATGAAGGATGTATAAGCCATTGTATGTGGAATGATAGTTACAATATTTCAGTTATAACACGAGGCTAATACTAAATAATATATGTTCTTCTCTTCCTCCTGCTTATATCCCAAACTATTTGGAATCTAACGTCTTCTATTTTCCGTCCCCCATTTCAGACATTGAGATATCATCCTATCAGAAACTCCTTCTGGTATATCATTCCTCACACAATGTATCGATCGTAAATAATTATTACTACTGTCAGTTTTTATGAATATGAGCAAAGTTCCAAATGTGAGCTTACATCGAAATTGATACTTCTTTGTTTGTAATTATATTAGTGTATTCATAAATTGTATGGATATTGTTGGTTTGACTATAAATTTTATCAAGAATACGGAAAATATATCATTGTCACAGTTCTGGTGAGTCTATTATAGATTTATAAATTTTGTATAGCATCACAACAACCATAATTAAATGATGTATCACATTTGTCACATTCTCTGTGATGTTGTGTAAGAGCGGTCCAAATTTCGTATTTGATCAGTGTGGGCGTTGCCTCGGCCTGTAACGGCGAAGGCAGATCATGAAGTGTCCTAATCTAGTGCCTTGTAGCTACGTGGTAAATATTTGTAAAAATACACAACTGTCTTCTAGTAAGTGATTCACAAAAGTCGGCAACTGGGTGTTGTTCTAGCTACGAGCAATAATAAAATCAGATTCCCGAACGTGATTATATCACTTTGAGTAGATGAGATTGCTGCACTAATTTATTCGTAAGCACGTCGTTTTGATTAGTTTTTGTCCAATTGCTAGTCTGATATTATTTTTGCTTGTATTCTACAATCTCCGATCGCCGTTAAGATGCCATTTGAATTCTTGTTTGGGCATGTTATTAATTTTTTTTGCAAATCTTTTAGTGCGACATTAACTGATTTCATTCTCCCTATGTTTGAGTGTGAAATCAATGCAGCATACAAAAAGAAGTAATTTTACCAAAGATAAAGAGCCGCATTACGCTTGGTATAGCGACTCGATCACGTTGTAAACTATGTACATGTGCCCGTCCTGTCCGATAACACGTGAATACCAATGTAGTTCGTAAGAAACAATGAATTTATTGAACTTGTCGAGATTTAATTTAGAATTGTCTAAGTGTATTTACGTAAGTACTTTAAGCAAATATTTTTATATTGTGTGATAACACAGATGTTTTTATATATAACTATATATAACTCGGTGCCAACGTAAATATTGTTGTAATTTGTTATGTAGTGATATAATTTTATGAAGTATCGTTGACTCTGGCAGCACGTTGTCGTTTGTTAGCGGCGGTCGCGTCAGCCGCGCCCCGCTCGTGAGCTTTAAATGAGGTTAAGTGCAATTGTTGTTCTATTGGAAATACAATCTGGAAACACACACGCTGTTTTAATTACCTTTTATTTCAAACAAACAAACAAGGTACAATTGGATAATAAATTAGTAAATCATATAAAAGTCACGAGTGATTACAAATATTTATTTGAATTAGCTCAATGGTCCTCTTGCTTTCAACTCATCAAATAGTCACTGCGAACGTTGTGTTATAGTAACTGATTGAGATTCAATGTCAACACATTTATATAAATAGCTTAAATTCCTACAGTATCAATTATGTATTGTTATTGTATGACTCTGACTGACGACCATATTGTAATTTCTTGATAAATTGCCTGAATATGTTAGACTCCTTTGCAAGAACGTTTAATTAATACCTAGACGTTAATCATTGTTTGGCTTTCAAATACAAATGTTTATTACAAATGTACAGGAAATAAATGATGACAAATCGATTATACGATTTTAAGGGAATACATACCATTTTGCAAATACTCTGTTCTGTGCAGTCGGAATATTGTATTGAAAAGACGAAAATGTTTCATTACTAAGATATAAATACAAATTATCAACTACGTATTTTGAGTACTTACGTCTTTTGTTGTCATTAGACAAAGGAATGATAGTTACTTAGTCATAGTCACGATAAAATCTTTATGTGCAGTCTTAGAGTCAAAACATATTTTATGTTTACAACTAAAATACTGGGCAGTTGAATACAGCACTATTATTCAGTCATTAGGTGGGGCACCCAGATAAGCTAAGGTATTTTAATAGGTCTTTACTTATGATACTGCCGTTCTCTTCGTATCAAAACAAAATCTTATTAATTTTTTTTTTCAATACTTTGCTCATTTGTTTGATAGTAAATATTCAGTTTTTATCGTATTTGCATAAAATATAATGTAAGTAATTGCATGAGAAACGGCAATTTCGTAAAGGTAAAGACCTAAATGGCGTAGGATGTATTTATTACTTTATATCTTTTATCTACTTTATAGGTATTACATTTTTACAAATGTCAAAACAAATACTCTTGAGTTTTCTAGTTTGTGGCCAGGTGTGATACACGTAGTAATGTGCTCTACGTTTAGGGTTTAAAGCGTAAAAATGGTTAGTTTGAGTAGTGCGAGGCTACGTGCTATGTGTCTCGCTGCGCGGCGGCCAGCAGGCGCGCCAGGCGGGAGGCGGGCTGCGACAGTAGGGCGGCCACCGCGCCCTGCTCCGCCACCTGGCCACTGTCCAGCACCACGCCGCGCTCGTACCCGCGCACTGACGATATGCGGTGCTGCAACATTACACCAATACACGGTCACACAATCATAATGTTTTCGGGCTTGTTAAATAACATATTATTCAAAGGATCAATAAGCTGAAGTGACAGTGGGCCGGTTACATTTGTCGAAAAACCGATAACCTATAACCGATAACGATAACGATTTAATTGTTTCGTCAGGTGTAGCTTATTATATGGACCTTGTGGAATCTAGAACAAATTTCCGTGCGTTTAGGCGCTTTTGCCATACCTATTATTGGAACCAAGTATAACAGCTCACACATAGGACCCACTTAGTTTTTTAGTCAAATTTCCGTGGTGCTTGGCGACTGGGCTTCACCCAGTTGTACAGTCTTTTCTTTGTGCCTTTAGGCTTAATTCATTCTGTCTCCTGCAGTAATTCACCGAGGGAAGTGGAAACTACAGTTTTTTCTTCTTCTCCTCTTATAATATCTTCTGATTCACTTCGTTGCGGGAACCAAGACAGTTACTCATGTCCCTGGGACGCGCCGGACTTCAATGTTCCGGTGTTTTCATGGTTGTATCTACTGTAGATCCTGGCTTACAGGAGTTGCAGCGGTTTTGGGAGGTTGTGGCGGGCTTGTCCCATTAAAAAAAAAAAAAAAAAAAAAAACCGATAACGCGTTTAGGCAAACGTAGTGTAGGGTGCCCTCCTGCTGGGTGGAATGAAGACATCCGCAAGGTGGCTAGCAGTGATCGGATGAGAAGAGCTGAAGACCGAGCTCAGTGGCGTGCCATTGGAAAGCCTATGTCCAGCAGTGGACGAATACGGGCTGATGACGAATGATAATGATATCATTCCTATTTAATAACGACAGTTCATTAAAGTGTATGATTAAATACTCTGTCGTTATTATGCGACTGTTGTGAGTACCGCGACAGTGATGATGGTGGTATGCGGCGCGACGGCGGCGAGTGCGGCGAGCAGCGCGCGCTCTGCGCCGGCGTCGAGCGCGGCGGCCGGCTCGTCCAGCAGCACGCCGCCGCCGGCCGCGCGTGCAGCGCCGCGCGCGCGCCGCCGCCACGCGCCCCGCGCGCCCCGCGCTCCAACCCGCCCCGCCCGACCTACTGCACACGCTGCACTCTAAAAATATATTTATATCATATATTACTTTTACCACGAATAAAGTTTCCATTCGAGAAAGCCTCATCTTTCAGTTTCGGAATCGATTAAAACTCTAAGGTAAGGCGTTCATGATTAATCATACCTAAGCCAGCGGGCTGACTGGATACAAAATCGAACAGTCCGACTGCCCTCAGACTGTGCCATATCTCTTCATCAGTGTGCACGGCGAGGGGGTCGAGGTTCTCCCGCAGCGTCCCGGAGAACATGGCGGGCTCCTGCGGCACGAGCACGACGCGGTGGCGGAGCGCGCGCAGGGGCACGCGGCGGATGTCCTCGCCGTCCACCAACACACGGCCGCTGCTGATTGTGGTCGCGCCGGCACAACTCAACAGTAGCGTCGATTTACCACTACCGCTTCGACCGCAAATGGCAACCTGATAGCATAATTTAATTTTAAAACGAAGAGTTTATTACATACCTAGCATAAATACTTATAAGCACGCAAGTTAACGATATGTTGGAATTAGAAAGGTTGAAAATCAATGCAGCCGCAAATAAAAATCATAGTTAAGTAGGTACTTTAGTTACCTTTTCACCCGGAGAAATAGTGAGGTTGATATTTTTTAATATCGTTGTCGATCCCGGTTCGTGCTGAATGTTAACGTTCTGAAATTCAATCTTGCCATTTCTCTGCCATCCGGCTGGTATTGGACCTGCGAAGACAAGATTGTCAAGATATTCATAATATTATAAGACAGGCGATGACTGCCTAGGTGAATCTGTTTGCATAGTGTATTTACACCCACAGTCGTCTCTGTAGTCTTCCTGCGGAGCGCAGGTGTCGGCGTGCACCCGCTCGAGCGCGGCCAGCTGTAGATGTAGGTCGGCGCGGCACTTGGCCAGGTGCGCCAGGTAGGCGGGCAGCAGCAGCGCGTAGGCCCCGGCCAGCCCCGCCACCGCGCCGCCCGCGCCGCTCCGCAGGCACGCCGCCAGCACCACGCACACGCAGCCCGCGCCTACCAGGTCCTGCGGGGCCAAATAACTCATTTATCTGCAGCCAGAACTGTCACACACACTACACTTTGATTTCATACAAGTTATGTACATGACTACGGTAACATATGATTTTAAACATTTTCCATACCAGTGTGAGTCCAAGCCAGCGATTGGCTGCGTTTAGCAACAGCAACGTGTTATGGTTAGTGTCGAGGCTGCGCAGGTAGTTGGTGCGCATGCGCGGCTGTAGGCGGCCGGCGCGGATCGTGCTGGCACCGGCGCACGTCTGCGCGCACAGGGATACCACCACTGCTGCACTATGAGCCTCCGCGCACTGGAGCTCACTGTGTGGAAGTAAAATGGATAGGTTTTGAGAGGTTTCATCATAACGCATATCCGTTCTATAGTCGACGATCCTGATATTCAAATGAAAATGTAGTGTTTACCTACCGGGCGTTACATAAATAAATAGATTGCAGTGTCAGGTAGCACAATAAGGCGGGGAGCGACGCCAATAAAGTCCACGGAGCGATAATTGCGTTCACAAGGATAGCCGCAGCACAAAGAAGTGCCAGTTGCGCCCAGCGACTAATTGCTGTTGGAAGTTTCTAAAACAAAGAAAGAGAAAACAGTGTGTTTGGTTTAAAAAACTGATTTATTTACGATAAATATACAAAATGGTTAGGTCTCATTTACGGAGACACTGCGGGTCGCGTATATTGCCGCAGCGTAGCGAGCAGCGTCATTGCTCGCACAAACACACACGACGAACGCGCGAGGCGCCACGTCTTTGTAAACGAGACCTAAGATTCTCTCTAACAAATAATACAAATATGTATATATAAATAAATGCACGTGTTAATGTAAAAGGTGTTTTTACCTTATCAATAACTAAGATGTCAGCGGAGAAGCGGTGCAGCGTGTCCCCGAGCGGCGCTGCGCGTAGATGGTGCGGCGGCGCGCGCAGCGTGGCGTGCAGCAGGCGGTCGTGCAGCGCGCGCCGGGCCCGCGCCGCCGCGCCCGCGCCGCCCGCCTGCGCCGCGCCCGCCGCCAGCGCGCCGCACCCGCACCACAGCGCGTACGTGCGCACGCCGCTCCAAGTCTAACACACACACATAATAACTAGGTACATCAACTTAGCAATTAGTCAATTACACGCATAGCAAAAGCCGAACGTCATTCGAATAATGCACACTTGGATGAATCAATCGCCTTTTACTAATAATCACTAAATCAATAGTTGAAAATATGGTGAGAAATAAAAATCGTAAAATTTGTGGTTTTATCGAACCTGTTGGTCGGTGAAGCCATTTTCCGTATTCTGCGACGTAGTGTAAGTGAGCCAGTAGTCTGCTGCCAAGGCGAGCGCCTGTGCGGCTGTGGCGGCGGCCCAGTACACGGCGCCCCACCATCTGCACGCGCGAGCGTATTCCCACCATATCGCCATCTGATAGACAGTTTATAACTTGCCAATTGGATAGAAAATTAGAAAGCTATTAAAGCATGTCCATTATGGTCAAAACATCAAAGACTCAGGAAAATGCATTCGCCACTAGCTGCGCTGCAGAATATTGATATTTTATTAGGTACCTAGCTTCTGCCCACGACTTCGCTCGCGTTCTGGGGATAAAAAGTAGCCTATGTGCCAAATTTCACCCGGTCCCTTCATTGCTCTGCTCCTATTCATTGTAGCGTGATGAAAAGTATACTGTAACCAGCCCAGGAGTATGACAAATAATATTACCAAGTTAAAATCCGTCGAGGAGTTTTATTTCTATAACGGTTATACAAACAGACAGACAAAAAATTTACTGGTTGCATGTTTGGCTTCTGTATCGATTCCTAATCTCTCGTTGATAGTTATTTTGGAAATATTTTCTAGAGAAGTCTAATCTGTACAAAATTGACTTCTCTACAGATTTATTATACCTACATAAGTAAGAAGATGGATAAACCTGTTTATGGCCAAACAAACCTTTACCTTTAGGTAATCAAACATGAATGTGTAACGTCATAGTACGTAACTTACTTCATTAACATTTTCAGATTTGTCCGAGTCGTCAGGGTCGTCATTATCGGCGACGATGGTGTTATTGGTATCTATGCCATTAGAGGTAAGTGAACTGTAAGGTGTATCAACCATCGAATCTTCCACCACATCTGAAATGGATGGAATACCTACATTTTAGTTAGTTGGATGGTTTTGATGCGTATTATTTCACTTTAAATCAGTTATCGTTGTATCTTGAATTTGGACGATTGTAATATGTATATATTTTTAATTTTTTATTTAAAATAGTTGGTTAAATAAATAAGTAGTTAGCTTTATTAATCTTAAAGAATATACAAAAGCAACACGTACCGTTATTTTGAATATCTTCTACAACAGTCTCAGAGTCCGAGCTTATTAGACGTCGTAATGTTTTTGGTGTCCATCTGTAATAATGTTATAACACAAACTTTATCGAATGTATTATATCAAATTGTCATGATATCCGACACATACGTTTTGGAAACCCGTTATTTTCATAGAAACGACTTTTATACTTGGTTTGGAATTTTCTAAACTATCAACTTCGTATTAGCCACAGGAAGTCCACTACTGAACATTATATGCCTCCCCCCCTCCCCTGAACTAATGACTTGTAGGCCGGTTAGAAGCGACCTGCATCCAGTGACTCCCCGCAACCTTTTTCCTTTATTGCCTTATTTAATTGGTGTATGGAATGTAATAAATTAGCGACCTGTTCAAAGTGCGTGATCCCCTAGGTTTTAACAACCGGCGCAGGAGGCTAGCCTCTCTTTGCAGGGCTGCATTAGATTCATCGGCGCTCACTGCGCGACGTACATCTGGACGCCACCTAGAAAAATCAGGTCAATATTTTTTTTTAAAGATTTTTACGTTTTAGCCTGTAGTCACGTTTCATTTTATTACCCGATTAAAGGAAGGATATTGATTTTTTTATTTATATTGTATTTTTGCAGGATTCGAGTTCGATAAGTCATGCCTTCAGACGCGTTAGTGGCTAGTTGATTGCGTTTTGGTGGCATAAAAATGGTTGATTGGTTGGTTAGAGCTTACTTGGCGTTGTACATGGACGGTGGGGGCGAGGACAGCTGCCTGGATAGTGCCGGCCGCGAGTGGGAGGAAACCCGGCGCCTCCAACTACCGCCTGCGCATGTCGGCACTTCCGACAGCAAGTGAGCCCCTGCTGCTTCACTAATGCCCACCTGCAATACAAAACCGGCTTTATTTAATCTACACCGTTACCATCAACAGTCCGCGACGGTCCATTGTTACTTGGGTATATATAGACCCCCTCTACTGCTCTACATAAGAAGGTTGGTTGGCCATTATCTTTGAATCTCCACGCATTGCAGGCGGGTTGAAGATTATAGTACATACGAACATACGAAGACGTTGTTATCCTATGTACCTTACTTAAACGTTTATATGACACCCTGTAGATACGATAAAGTATCTACTGTTGTATGTAACTCCCTCAGTCCCTCGATTTCTTAGTATAGCTAATTTCTGAAATCATAATTTTCATGATTCACTGAGAATTATGTGCCTTACACTCCAAAATAATTTTTATGGACTTTATATGGTAGCGCTAAAATTGGAGGCTTAATTGGCGTTAATTTTGTTTGCCCACAATACCTAACTGTCTGCTCTTGTAACTATTCTGAGATAACGACATTCGTTAATTGAAAATAATCGGTATCATATACGATGAAGTACAATGTGATATAAACACGTGACGTACTAATTAAACAAAATTGGAGGATGACTGATACTTGATAGATTGTAATGCAACAAAACCAAATCATGACCGCGAGACATACCTATGTTTTTGAGATATAAAAGCGTGGACTGACCGTAGTCTCGTCAGAGTTACACCGCTGGTACCAGGACCTGCTGAGCGCGCGTACGAGGCGGGAACGTTCCCTGGCGGTGCCGCCGGGCGGGCCGGCGCCGGCGCGTGCCGCAGCCGCGCGAGCCTCGCCCGCCAACCGCGCCCAACGGGCCAGCGCACCCTCACACGCCGCGCCGCGACCCACGCCCGATACGCGACCCTCTTCCATTGCTATCACCTGTCAATATCATTACAACTCTCGAAGAACGTGGGTAACGGTAACCTTCTGTGAGTTACCAACCTACCGATAATAAAAATCATAAAACACAGTATAATTGTAGGAAGGAGGGTAGTAAACCCTCCTTCCCGATTAACAATTAAGACTATAAGCGTTGTGTTCTTCTCCTATAATCTCTTTATAGGACTTCTGAAGTGTGACCTACCAGGTCCGCGTAATGTAGAAGTTCAAGTCTGTTGGTAGCAACAAGGACGGTGCGGCCAGCCCTGGCGGCCGGCACGAGCGCTCGCGCCACCAAGTGTCGCGCAAGCGGCGCGTCCAGCGCGGCCAGCGGCTCGTCCAGCGCCAGCAGGCGCGCGTCCGAGTACAGCGCCCGCGCCACGCACACTCGGATGCGCTGCCCTCCCGACAGGGGCGCCCCGTGGCTTCCCAGCCGAGTGGCGTCACCCTCTGTTTGAAAATATTTCGTCTCATAATGCTCAGCATGAATACTGTTCCGCTGTATATGTACGACGGCGCGTAATACATAAATGTATACATGCATAATGTACTTATTCGCATAATAATAACCATCATTGTTCGATCGTTCCAGATTAATGATTTCATTTGTAACTGTGTACACGTGGCTCGATTCATTCGCCTGCAGTGTGATTACGATCTATATACTGATTGTGTTAACAAGGTTACCGATAAGTCGATAAAAGTAGATAATAAAACCTGAGGAATCTAGTCAATGTCAATGCTACTGGCCTGGTAAAAGCTGCAGGTCGGGTCTCAAACCGGTTGCCCGTAAAACGCGCCCATATTTTCTCTGACACCACGAGCCGTCCATAACGATGTTACTGCGCACGGAGCCCTCCTGCAGCCACGGCGGCTGTCCTGCATACCACATAGAACAGCATCTGGCCACAACGCAAAAATACTTTTCAAGATGCGATCATTGTTCTATATCTAAGAATTAGCAAATTATTGTTCGTAGTAAATATATTGCGCATGACAAATGAATAGAAGCAATGTGTTAGGTATTCATCAGTCATCCAATTCATCCGTTCAGCTCTGAGATACGACACCGTTACGGTTTAATTAAAGTAATTACCGACGTAGTTTTAAATTGCGTTGCTATTTTTGTTTACAGATAGGTATGACTGAACATTCCATCACCTCTAGGCCCCTGTGTATTTCCCGGCGATTCATCGTTTTTACCTCCCTTTGGGTATCTCCGGGTGGGTTGTGTTGAGTAATAATTAAAAGTTAAAAACGTAACTGTCAATCTTTAAAAGATCGTGGGCATGCATGCTATACCTATCTGCTACAAGTTGCTAGCGTAATGGATACGAAGTCATACTTGTTATAAACGACGTCTCCTCTGTCCAGATACATTTCTCCAAGTATAGCCGACAGCAATGATGACTTTCCGGACCCTGTAGAACCTACGACCATGATTAGTTTTCCTGGAACAAAAGAAGTCTTACATACATATACATATTTACGTAGGTATTTAATCTAGGTACGTTTTCCTCTTGAATAGGTAAGATGAGAAAATATACAAATTTATATGACATTCAATCTTATCTCATAGGTTAATTAAAAATAAGTTAATAATATTATACTGATAGCTCTCACCTGCCGGAATATCTAGGTCATCTACCTCCAGCAACATGTCACTTCCCTTGCCCCAAGAGAAGGCTGCGTTTCTAAACTTAACCAAAGACTCGGTTTTGCGGGCTGGCACCGTGTATACTTCATCATCGGAAAACTGATCCACACACTCAGTACTATCTTGCTCGTCGTTATGCATTACATAATTTTCGTCAATATCATTCTTGTCAATTTTCTTATTTCGATCCTCTTTCGTTGTATTCTTCTGATCCTCCCAATTATCTTCATTAACATTGTTTGATTCAGGAAGTTCCAAGAAATCTGTAATTCTCTTCGTACTGACCTAAACAAAAATATAAGCTTCATTTACTGGTAGTTAGCTAGTTAGAGCTGATACATCAAAATATATTCATGAATATTAATAGCGGTTCTTACCATCGCTTGGATCACCATTAGCACTGTAACTGGCAGTATGAGGAGGGGGACTGTGAGCTGATTAAAAAATGCCAATCCAGCGAATACATTAGTAGCCGTTAACCGATTGTTACTGTCAATAAAATAGTACACGGTAAATGTGACTACTGTTATTATTATTGAAGATATTTGCGTTGTGAAAGCTGAAAATGATAATAAAATATGTTCAAATCCAACTAAAAAGTGATATTTTAAAATTATAGAATGAATGACTATGTATGTTCAAATGCTCACTTAAAATACTCCAGTATACAGAGTCCTTGTTTAGTAGTTTTAATTCAAGTTCTCTAAGTTGTAATATTTTCTCTTTGAATAAATCTTCCCAAACATAAAGTTTTATGACATCCATGCCGTGTAATATTTCTGCCATCTTAGATAGCCTGTGGTCGGTACATTTCGCGATATCTTTTGAATTGTCCGATAATTTTTTTCCGATATAAAACTGTAACGGCGTGATTGCCAGCACGCTCACTGCGGTGCCTATAATCGCACTAACACCCAGTTTTGTGTATAATAAATATAATATAACGACTACCTGAAAGAACAATAAAGCAATTATTTTATTACAATTGTATGATATCAATTGCTTTACCTATCACAAGCAGACAGTTTACCTTTAAAGGTATCGCCCAAATATAATGACAGATCCAAACACAAGACATGATATTATACGTGTCCTGAGAGACTAGATTCGTGATGAGACCAGTCTTCGTGGCGTTGGTATCTTCGGTGTCATGCAGTAGTCTTGTCTCCTCGTCATCACGAGTCTCAGGAGATGACCACGGAGCCAGCCTCATACATTTATCGTACACCATGCTCTGTCAATAAAAAACTGCATAAAATGCATCTATTATAAATTACGTAGTGAATATATATAGCTATAAAGTTATAGATAAAATTAACGAACTTGTAAAGCCGTTTTCAATCTTGTGCCTTCAACCGTCACTAAATGTGTTGAATTCTGGGATAAAAATGCCTGGGTAATTAGTGCCATTGTAATGATGAGCAGCATAACATATCCGTTGTTAAAGAATTCTTCAAGAGTCACTTGTGCACTGGAGTCGTATATTTTAGGATCTTCAATATATTGAATTATGACAGATAGTCCAAGGGGAGGCACGACACCAATCAGATCGCCAAATAGTTTTAATATTCCAGCAATATAAAAATTTGGCCATACTTTGCGAATGTAGCACGATAGTAGACTCGGACTTTCATCTTTACCATGTGAATTCTGGAAACGGGAATGTTTTTTAACGTCTCTAAATAAGGGTATTTATAATGGTTACATTAAACGTTGCAAAAAACCCCTACATACCTCTAGGTTTTTATATATTTTAACAAATTCTTTATAATATTTCACGGATCGTTCATCTTCTGGTAGTTCCCCTAGATAGTCTGGTTCCAATGGTGACTTATATCCTTTTTTCAACAAAGAATTTAACCAAAAGAATGATATCTTAGAATAAAAATGTGTGTCATTGTGTTTGTAGCAGATGTTATCGGGGTTTGATTTCAGATCATTTCTAAAGCGTTTCGTCACCTGAAATAAAAAACATCAGATTCAAATGGTGAAATCTGTAGTATGTCGGAATTTCAATATAACAAACGAACTCCCATTAAACGATAAAGTTATCACATTCATATTGACCGCACGTGCACTAATGGGAAATGCCATCTGAGAGCGGCGCCAGACGCATTGTGAAAATCGTCTCCTACGATATGCTCCTTGCGCGACGTCTGGCGCCGGCGGTGGCGGCGTCCCAACCTGACTCATACACAGCATATAACTATGCATCGTAACTATCACTGCTCCCAGTTTTGAGCATAGTATTCTGACCGATTTACTTTTAATAAAGAGAAAGTAGCACCGGAGCTAGTGTAACGGTACCGTTACTACTGACTAGAGGATAATGATATGCAACCAACACGCACATCATTTTGTTACGCACGTATGACGGACATGCATGTTACAATTAAACTCAGTATGTACACAGCACACGGCATTTATAAATGGAAGTTATCATTTGCCTATAAATTAAATTAATTGGTGAACAAACGCACAAAGATCTAGCTAAATAAAATTCGTAAAGCATAAACGTTGTAGCAACATTGGGAAATATAATTTTACAGAATTAACGCATAAACATAAATCGCAGGATCAATAAATGACACTACTCTACCTACTACCTTAAGGTAGGTTTTACGAATATTAGTCGTCAGATCACCAATGACCGTCTCATTTGGTGGAAGAAACATATTTATGAATAGTAAGTCATACTTTTAAGATGAAAACATTCGACACCTTTTTACTGCATCCCGAATGTATAGGTATATAAAAGTACTTATATACCTAAGTTTATTTCGCGATTTCCACTTTCACATCTAAGTGGGGTTCCACTTAGATGTTCCAAAGTTTGGTTGGATCGGTTTTGTTAATTTATGGTTTTGATGAATGTTATTAAAAATAAATCTAAACCGAGTTATGGAAACGACAATCGAATAATTTCGTAGAAAAAATGTAATAAGGTGTTGTGTTATTTATGGACAAAATTAGTAATATTTTAACATGAGCGTAACCAGATATAAATTTTCCACCATATTATAACAATAATTACAGACAAGAAGCACACACAGTCACGCTAAATAGTTTAGCCCCGATGAGCCGTGTTATAAACTAATTTGAATAGTATGGAGGACATACGCATTAATATATTTACCTATACATAATAGAGCCAAATAAGTTATAGGTTCATGTGTATTTGCATAAAGTGATGGAAGCACTCGAGCGGTGAATGACTGTGTGACGTTATTCTCTTTGAAATAAGTATTTCGATTACTAAACTATTCTGAAATAAGATTTAACAGAGCAATTTAAGTATCACCAAATGTTAAATACTTATCTACTTTATAAAAAAACAAACGATTTTAAGGTTGAAAGTTTTAAGGAACTGTTAATATAAGTCCTTCATATACATACACATAAGACAGTGCTATAATATTTGTTTACCCGAACATACTTCCGCACGTTTACGAGTGACTCAGTAAGACGATTTTAATCGAAGACTTGCTGAATCAACTGTAGGGGAATGAGCTTAGGGGTGTTTATCAAGTTATGTACGCTAATTCAATAAGTGCAGGCAGGCATGGAAGGAATAAGTACTGATCAATTTACTTTGCTCCTACCGACCAATAAATTAGCATTCAACAACAAAGAACTCAGAATTTCAATGGCGTCAAAGATGTATTTATTCATACATGGTAAACACTGTCATCATCCCAACGTAGGCATGAATGACGGTGCCTAATCTTTAATGTTTACTGACACCGAAACGGTATGAAGTGCCAAGGCCCAGTAGTACGATATTCAAATGTTATGCTCCTTCTACTTCACTGTTCTTGTTTAATGATCCATTATGATCTCCACACACCTTGGTATTAGAGGCCTTGCTTCAATGGTACTTACCTACTAATGTATAGTTTCCGGGTTGCACGTAATTTGTAATAAGGATTCAAATATTAATCAAATTTGTTGTACCTTATATGTTCACCATATATTTTATAACATAGGAAATAATTTCTTTATTTTTTCTGCTAGTGGCATGAAATATTAAGGTGAATGAATTACCTCGTCATAAAAACAGACGCAGTCAACTGTAGATATCAGTAATGTCATCAACAGGGACACGCCTTGAACATATAACTCTACGTGATTAGTGGCAGCCCCCTTGATAAAGTGCTGCCATAGGATGGTCCCGGCGGAGATCGTAGCGAGCATCCAGTATATGGAGAGGTAGAGGATGGGAGCTGCTGAGCGTCGGGTCCACAGGGCTACATGGAAAGCGGCGGCTGCGAGCCACGACCAGGGTGCCATTAGCGCTGCTACGAGCCGCACCGTGTCTGCGGGCCGCAGTAGTGCCGCGGCAGCATCGCAACACCAGGCTACTCCCAGCACAAGGCTTGCTATTCCACGTACATTCTGTCCTCGCCATCGTTTTGAATGCCTGTGTAATATTTAATGTTATCGATTGATTGATGATTGCGTAAAGAATAAGCAAGGTATAGGTATAGTCGCGGAAAACCTAACGGGTAACAGGGGGCTCCGGCTCGACGTGCAGGAGAAGGAACGGGGTGGTTTTTAGTCAGTAAGAGTCTGACACTCCCCCCCGCCTCACCCAGGCGGGAGGAGTCATTCGATGATTTTCCCCTCTTAAAAAAAAGGTATAGATATGCATCAATATAGTTTACGGGTATTTCGACAAAACCTAACTTCATAATCGTAGGCCGCATCATCGCTTACCACCAGGTGAGGTAGCACATACTTATATATAATTTGCATAAATGATCAAATATTTATTTAAAAATGTGGCTCTTTTAGTAAATATAGATACACATCTTCTTTACTTATTTGTTAACAAATACAAAGACTTCACGATAATTGAAAATTGTGAGATCGTGTTAAAGAATATGGACTCTGGGTTTTGTTACTTCTTACATTTTAATCTTTCCATATAGACATATTATAGTGAATGCCTTAAATGCAGTTTTATAGTAGACTTTAATGAATGAATAAACAGATTTAACTTAATCCATGATGATAGATTATTTATTATATCTGTGTAGAGGATTTGTTGTATCAACATTGTTGCGAGAATGAAGTGCGATCGTGTGGTACTGGTCGTATGGCGTGGTGGTATACCTGTAGTGCTTGTGTATGGGCGCACAGCAACACATGAGCGCGGCGCTGATGGAGGCGCAGTACAGGTTGAGCGAGTGCAGCGCACCGGCCAGCGCGCGCACCTCGCACGCCGTGTCGCCGCTTGCGCACACCGCCTCCATACTCAGCGGCGAGGTATGCTGTGCACTGTGCCGGCTAACACACACTACTGCTCACTGTCAACTAATATTACGTCGACGGCTACCATTTGCGTGTAGGCGATGCTAATAAAAAACAAATGTATTTTTTAAATAAACTAACTCATCTTGTACCATTTCTAATGCATTGTAAATCTGTCACATTGAATCAAACTTGGCAGTTGTTTTGTGTTTTGTTGTTATTAACAAATCATTCATATTTTGTTTAACAGGTAGGTACTTACCTACAGATTGCAATACTTAGCGGGTAGGTTTTGACTGTGAATTGAGTGATAATTATGTATATACAGTATCGTTAAATAGGTCTATTTATTCAGTAATTTCCTAAACCCAAATTGTTACAGTCCGGCCTAACTTATTCTCTAACTAGGTAAGTAAAGTTAATTAAAAACCTCTGTAAAGTTCAATGGACAATATTTATGACAAACTTTCCACTTCATGATACATTCCATGAGTTGGTATGATGATTATTTTGTAAATGCGATACGTCACTCAAGCGTCATTCCACTTCGTCCCAGAATTCACAACAAAACTCACCTCCAAAATAATTATAATTTCACTAGGTACTAAACAGTCACTGGTCACTATCCGAATATCACTAATTTGAGGATTTTATGCTCATCCGCTTCCCATTATACAGATATTATTGTATAGGGTTTATGGTATTGTAATGGTTAAGTATTATTCGATGAGTTTGAGTGAATTTGCATCGCGCTGCGAGCGTGGCACGAACGCGCGCGTGATAACGGCGGGTTGCTAGAGTGGCGACTGGCCGCGGCCCGCGGCTGGCCGGCGGAGCACTGCATGCCGCTCGACGGCTCGACTGCGAGAGTGTGAGCCTGTCTTTGAGGAGCGTCCGCCTGCCACTCCCGTGCTACGAGACCGCCTCATCTCACATTAAGAGTCATGACAATTTTAAAAATTATAGGTAGTTACAATGCAGGCGGTACTTAACTACTTATCAATAGAGAAGTGTATCCAGGATTCCAGGAACGAACGTTGCGCCCGGAACACGTAGGTCGCCATATAGCTAAAGGCTCCGTCACAGAACAGGAGTTGTAATTGGGGTTTTTTTGGTCACTAAGAGTCTGACATTCCTATCTAACCTCATCTCACTACCAATCGTATAATAAACAATCAAAATAATCAATATTTGATTAAGAAATCGTTAGATTAACTCGTTTTATTTATACTTACCCAAAAGTTAAGTAGTTAGTCAAGCTAACAATTATAACAGAGATTACACACATAATTGGGATGATGACAGGGTATGAAAATTAAAAATGTAATTAGTCCGTCAGTTAGGTAATGAAAAAATATTAGACACGTATTTTTTTATTTTGTTGTATAATAAAATGATACTTAGATATAACGAATCAAAGTTTAGGAGGAGGTTCTTGAAAGGTTCTTGGAGGCAAGCTGGTCCGGTTCCACAGGATAGCGAAAAACATTGATGTTCCAATGAGTTCCAATCATGTAATAACAGAACCATTTTGTTCAAATGTACACTGTCAAACTTTATATAATTATTGTAAATGTGAGAGCCCTGTAACTAACTAAATTAAATTAGACTAGTAGAATGCATGTGTGTCAGCTTGGAGTTGTCATGCTCACTCAAAAGTCTCATTGGCAGTGGCACGGGCAGTGGATCCCTCGATTCCCTACAACATGGTTGAGTTGGGCGGTGCTGGTGTACGAGTCATGTTTGTGAACGGGCGCTGTCAAATGGGACTGGTCAGCTCCAGACTGTATTAAATTAGTTGTCCTCAAGGTTATTATCTTTTTCCGTCTCCTTGACCAAATATTGGTATTACATTGTTCTCACATAATTTAACTCAACGAAAGCATGTAACCAAAAATTGCATTGTGAATATGATTGAAAAAGAGTAACCTATGGAGTTTCTTGCTCGTTCTTCTCCATAGGAATCTACACTTTGGAATGAGCAAATAGCTTCACTAGACTGACATTTTTTTCTTATTATTTAATATTTTAATATTTTGTTTTGACGTTCAAAAGTGCCTTCCTGGTTTAATTGAAATAAATGATTTTGACTTTGACTTTAGGAGTGGGGGCTAAAACGTCATTTCTACGTATAAAATGTACATAGAAGTGACATTTCAAATCAATATAATCTTCGAAACTATTCGTTTCCGTAAAAAAATAAAATACGTGTCTAATGTTTTTAAACCAAACGGATATTAAAATAAAAATTAGTCATCTATCCTAGCGCCTTATTTTTTGCACGATTATGAGACACCACAACAACAGATGTTTAGATCGTTAATTTTCTGTAGATTATTTCGACTACTTGTGTCATACGACCTACTTTGCAATATCGGGCGTCATTATGAAGCATATTTTTAAATATTATTTATTTTGTTTCTGATGTTTAGTGTGCTCGATACGGCTTGCACTCGATATTCAAATGGCAGTGGTTCGCACAAACAAGGCGACGCAGTGCGGTGCGCGCGCGCATTGCTGGCTGGCACACATATTATTATGTCGCCTGTTATTCTCCCCACTGACCTTATTCTCATTTCACAGGTTTTCGCTTGCTCTCACGCCATCAGAACAGCATCACCTGCACGTCTGTCACTCGTCATACTTACATGACTTCAAACCAGGTGCCTGAGTTTTTATTACGTCTCAATGTTGTACATCAAATAGGTCACGAATACGTCAAACGAATTTGATGAATAAAATAAAAAATGTTTTATAGATGTCCTTTAATTATACTACAAGAAACTCATAAAAACAACATATTCTAATATTTCTTACCTATAATTCTTATATCAATATTAGATATTTACATAATTTGTCCATCATTTAACTAGTGCTTCAATGGATACGGTTAATTAATTAACTACTAGCTTTTACCCGCGGCTTCGCTCGCATCACAAAAGGATAAAAAGTAGCGTATTCGATTATCCATTCCTTCAACTACCTTCAGTTAAAAAATGACGTTATTAGTACCTCCGTTTTGCCATTTAAACTGTCAAACACCAAGCGGTCACCGGTGACCGCGACCTATTGTTCTTTAATTGTGTCTATAAAACCGGTACTCGACGAGTTAAGACAGGCAAACAAACAAATAGCTTTCCGCTCGCGTGGAATCCGTTATATCGCGCTTTTTAGATTTTTCCGTGAGAATGAGAAGTTTTGCCGCGGTAAAGCCTTGCTTTTCTAGGACTCAAACTACCTTCATACCAAATTTCTTCAAAATCCGTTCAGCCGTTTAAGCATAAAAGAACAACATACAGAAGGAGTACTAGATTGTTCAAGACATTAACGGACGTTTGGGGCGAACTTATAACTGAATGGCAGTGTAGATGGGAATCTTCTATTAAGGGCCACCACCTATATCAGTTCTTCCCATTCGTGCATGAGCGGCTAGAAAGGACATGGTTGGAGGTGGATCACTGTGTTGCCCAATTTCTTACTGGCCACGGCAACTTTAAAAGCAAATTGTTCTCATTTAAACTTGTTGATTCACCATGGTGCCAATGTTCGACTGCGGAAGTGCAATACGAGCAGTCCGCCCATCACATACTCTGGGAGTGTGATCTCTGGCAATATGAACGTAACACTATGTTAAATATTTTATTGTTTCGTCAGGTGCAGCTTATTATACGGACCTTGTGAAATCTAGAACAAATTTCCGTGCGTTAAGGCGCTTTTGCCATATCTATTACTGGAAGCAAGTATAACAGCTTACACATAGGACCCACTTAGATTTTAGTCAAATTTCCGTGATGCTTGGCAACTGGGCTTCATCCAGTTGTACAGTCTCTTTTCTTTGTGCCTTTAGGCTTAATTCACTCTGTCTCCTGCGGTAATTCACCGAGGGAAGTGGAAACTATAGTTTTTTTCTTCTCCTCTTATAATATCTTCTGACTCACTTCGTTGCGGGAACCAAGAGAATTGTTCATGTCCCTGGGACGCGCCGGACTTCAGTGTTCCGGTGTTTTCATGGCTGTATCTACTGTAGATCCTGGCTTACAGGAGTTGCAGCGGTTTTGGGAGTTTGTGGCGGGCTTGTCTCTTTAAAAATATAAAATACAGAAGGAGTTATTTTCGCATTACAACAAATACCATCCTCCCATTTCAATTCAAAAGACTTGACTATATTGATTTCGTGTACCTTTAACAACCTAAAATCTATAAAATACATAATTTAATGTAAATGGTAGGAACCAAAATTTAAAACATAAATACTTAAAAAACCTAACACCCAGCGCCATCTATCGCTAAGTAGCTTAACTATTACATATATATTAATTAATAATTCGTTGACTTATAAAACAGCAAATAAATAAGTCTAAAAATGCACCGAATAAGTGTAGGTAGCGCTATAGATTGAAGCGTGAGATTTATAATTAGTAGGTAATTCGTTGACTTGTTTTAAATTGCATACAACGCCATCTATACCAATACACACAGCGCCATCTATACCAATATTTTTGTTTTCCCTAAAATGTACCCTATTAATTAATCCAGGCTTCTAACTTTACGTATGTAAAATTTCAAAGCAATCGGTTTAGTAGTTACGGCGTGAAAGCAGAACAAACAAACAAATAAACTCACTTTCCGATTTATAATATTAGTAAGAATAAGGATTACAACAAAGTATACCTACCAATTAATGATAAAATGTGGCATATTTGGGTCAAATGATAAAATTTTGCGTAAATAATCTCTGCTTACAAATCCATAATCAAGGACTAACTCCAATAATTACGAATACCTTAGTAGTAGATGTAGAAGATACGTAATATACTTAAACTTTGTGTTGGAACTCCGGTTTCTAATTTATTTACAGATTCAAAAATGTAACCACATATTTTAACTATGCACCATATGACCTATTACTAAGAATTGGAATATTCTTCATACCTACGCGTCACGGACTACTGTCCACAGCCTACTGGCTTTAATTGGTTAAGGCCAGCTGTTCATACGCGTTATTTGACGAATGCATGAAACCTACAGATGATGACAGCTTTCATTGTTTTTAAGCAAGATGCAAACATTTATCATTTACGGATTACCATTGTCATTGCAGGTTGCATGTCGAATAACGAGTGTCGTATACAATAAACATAATGAAACATAATGCTTCACACGTTGAAGTTGAAGTGTTGAACTGAGATATAGGTATATAATAATGTCAAAAATGTACTGCACTGTAATGATGTGATTCAAGTACAAGTATCTAGTGAAAAGATTTTTAAATCTTTATTTCCTTCAATGAAACTTTGCCAATTGCTCTTTTTAAACGTAATGAGTGTTTACAAATTAAATAAATATAAACATACTTACTACAAGTTACAACACAAGATAAGTGGATGTATTTCATGAGTGCATCTCTACCTGTTTACAAGAACAAGTGGAACTTATTATTTTACGTGTAAATATGTATATATAACATGTATATTGTCAATGTTCCCGGACGGTCGAGTAGACGGTATCCACCGCTACGTGTTCCACCCTACTCTACCAATTATAGGCAAAACACTTTTTTTGTTTTTTCAGCATCATTTTGACCGTCGACCATCTGGAGGTGCCTCAGCCTTTTCTTTAACTCGTCGAGTACCGGTTTTATAGACACAATTAAAGAACAATAGGTCGCGGTCACCGGTGACCGCTTGGTGTTTGACAGTTTAAGTAGTGTATGAAATGCGAATGCATTTTCTCTTCAGAGATAAAAGGCGTGAAGTTATGTTAATATGATTAATTTTGTGGAGAGTACTGTGTCGACCCTTATCTAAAATTTGTTTTTGATAAGTGAAAACTTGTCAATTATCATAGTTGTCATTGGCTGTCAAATCCACATACAATATTTTACTTTTTGTTTTATTAGCCGTTAGTCTTGTTGCGGAGAACCTAACGGGTTACCGGGGCTCCGATTCGAAGTGCAGAAGAAGAAACGGGGTGGTTTTTAGTCAGTAAAGAGTCTGACACTCCCTCCCGCCTCACGAGGCGGGAGAAGTTATTCACTGATTTTCCCCCCTTATAAAAAGCCGTTAGTCTTCCAAAGGTGACAAATAAATAAATAAATATTAAATATTAATTGGCTGTTGATTTTTCTCTCGACCACTTACCACTAACCCTTGATTTTCCATCTCGATATGAAATTCTACAAAATCTCCTACGAAAAATGCTTGGAAAGGTCTACAAAAAAGATATTAATATAATATTGGTTCTTGTGATAGGGATAGGGGGTGTGTGATAGGGATACCTAGTACAAGAGCCGGGGCTTCACTGTATTAATTCTATGAAGCGCTAATAAACGTTTTTTTTATTATGATTATTTTTATTAATATACAACTAAGTTAGCCAGCCAGTAAAACAGTCGTGGGAGAAGCGTTTAAATTCTTAGGCACGCTATATTGTATATTATAATCTAGATATTCTAATGCAGGGGTTCCCAACGTTTTCTTGGTCAGGGACCACTTTGACATAGTTTTTTTCGGCAGGGACCACTATTTAGTTATTAATTAACTAAATTTTAGTGTAGTAAAATAAACTGTAATAATCAAACTGAAACTTTAATTCAAACTCTAATATGAATTACATAAAAAGAAATAATAACATTTTAGGATAAACTTTCGTAAATTTAAATTAATGCGATTTCTGAGCTTGCATCTTCTTCACGAGTTCGGCTATCCTAGGACTGATATTGTTACTCAGAGCCACACGTAAATCATCACTTACTTTCAAACGATTTCTCGCCTTGTTTTTGAATACCAGCAAAGCAGAAAATCCTTGTTCACATAAATAAGTGGTTGAGAAAACGATAAAATAGCGTAAGGCGATTTCTCGAAGTTTAGTATAAGAAAGTGCTTTTTTACACCAAAATGACTCAAGTGAATTCGATCCAAAAGCATCCTTGCAGTTTCTGTCATTTTGTAATTCAATGAGCTCTTCTTGGATTTCTTCTGTAACTTCACTAGCGTCCGTGCTAAAAGGGTTACGAATCATTTTTTTATCAAGATTAGCTTCTTCGTTATATTCTGGGAAGTAACGATTGAATTCATCAATCAACATATGTAAATGAGTCTTAATGTTTTCTTGAATATTTGCTGTAAAAGCGTCATACTTTTTGTCTTCCACAAGTGATTGTAATGTCGCAAACGCAGAATAATTATTTTCTTCAATTTTACGTAACCACAATTGAAGTTTGCAGATAAAAGCACGAAGTTTATCTTCAAAAATGAATATATTTGCGACATTCTCTAAGTTTTTATTTCCAGAACCTTGCAGTTGTATATTTAATTTATTTAAATGTGTGAAAATATCCACAAGATACGCCAAGTCCAACTGACATGCCAGATTAGTAAATTGTTTCAACAAATCATTATTTTTTTTGTCACCCAGAAAAATCTCAACCTCTGCTCTCAGTTCATATAATCTTCCCAGCATATTACCTTTCGATAGCCATCGAACTTCGGTATGAAAGAGAAGTGTCTCGTGATCAGAGTCCATTTCAGTGCATAACTTTTTGAAAAGTCGTGTATTTAAGGCGCTGCTTTTAATAAGATTTACAATTTTTATGGCCATTTTTAGTGTATCATTGAGGCATCCAGGAAGAATTTTTGAAGCCAACGCCTGGCGATGTATGATATAGTGCGTTGTAATTACATTAGGATTTTTCTGTTTTACTAATGTCGCCAGCCCGGAAGGTGATCCCAACATTGCTGGAGCACCATCGGTACAGAGGGCAGCGAGTTTATCCCACATAAGATTATGTTTCTCGAAAAATTCGGATATTGAGTTTATGACGTCGATACTTTTTGATGTTGTGTCCAGTTCCCGTGAAATCAATAACTCTTCTTTAATTATGTTGTCGTCGTCTAAAAAGCGAACAAATACAAGTAGTTGACAACAATTTGAAATGTCGGTCGACTCATCACACTGCAAAGCGAAAAACGACGGCTCACCGAATTTAGCGGGCGCGCCCGCTAAAGAATTCATTCGCGGACCATATTTTGGCTTCTGCGGACCACTGGTTGGGAACCATTGTTCTAATGTAATGTTTATGTGAAGAAAACTAAGGAATTTTGCAAGAAATAAAAGGCTTTTTATTTTATTTTTATTTTATTATTTATTACAGATATAATTTACCTTTACTTTACCTACATAGATTTTAAAAATATATTTGTTGTTATTAAAGTTATTAACGTTTATTAGGGATAATTTTGTCTAAATGTAGGTATTAGTTTGTTCTATGTGCTTAATATGTTCTTTTGTTTTTCTTTGTGTAAGTTATTTTACTGTCGTTCCCATACAACATTTAGAAAGGTAAATATAGGTTACTAAATAAAAGTATAAAATCTACTGTAAAGGTGGGTACAGATTGGTGCAATGCAACATGCAATGCAAGAATTTGAGGTCCACGTATAAGCTATAAAACATCATGCTAAGACCATTAGGAGCCGAGCAGAGCGGGTGAAACCGCATGGAAGTAGATAGTTTATAAATATTCATGTGCATTCGTTTTTATTACGTCTCAATTATGTACAGTACATCAATAGGTTGTTTGACTAAGTACTGCCAATTGGATTTGTAAATAAAAAAAATAGGTATATAGATAATAGGTCCTTTAATATTACTAGACTCATGATTACAAAATTTGCCAATAATTCTTATGTCATTATTAGATCTACGTCTACGTAATAAATATGTTCATCCCTTCGTCTGTCCATGGATATGATTCATTAATTATGTTTTCCTTTAATATTATTTAATTAAATAATGGATATTTTTTCCATTTCATTACATTACAATTCTAGCCAAGCCATTATATTTGGTAAAGCGATTGTTTTCTACCAATTGTTCAGAAACATGTACGTTGTCCAATATTACAATGTCATCTACATCGAACAACCATAGGACCGGCCTGCTATCAGTGTTTTCTACGGCAAGGAAGTTTCTTCAGCAGGCGGAATCCATAGCCATTGTAGCCATTTAATATAGAGGTAATATACTGAATTTTAACACAAGCTACAACACTATAAATACTTATATGATTATTGTACAAAATACTGTTATATAATTATACTCTATAAAAAATATTGCAACTAGGTACAAAGTTAAGGCACTGCGGTAACATGTAAGATGTATTATGTGTTCAGAAATCCAAATCCCACCCAGATGTTTCGTCTGGTGGCATCTTGTCCTTAGGGTACTCCTCAAAGTTTCTGCGGTCTAAATCGTTGGCTACGTGTGGCACCAGAGGAGCTTTAAGACGACGTTCCACGAGTCCGTCCCAATCGAAGCCTAAGAACCACCTGTATATAGAAAAATATAATTATTTTTTTTAGGAAGATAAATGAAAGTTTATTAAAGACATACTTAAACACTTTTAAAGATAAAATAAGTACCTACTTGATAGTTCAATATGAATGTATGTTAAACTGACGCAGAATGAATTTATATGAGTTTGTTTAAATTCGTTATGTGACACATTTCGACTGCTAATGTCGTTATTAAAATATTTATATAGCCTTGAACGTACTTGTGACTTTTAATGTCAGCTATTCCGTTTTTGAGGTACCCGAGCCGTTCAGCGGGCACGGCGCGACACAGTTTGCGAATGAGCAGTTGTGCAGACTTCGGAACTCGTTGATGGAATGATACTGCTTCGATGCCGCGCAAGATAAGCGTGTAAGTCTTCATGTGATCACCCCCTGGGGCTCGGAATGGAGGTTTACCGACAAGCAGCTCGTGAACCAGCACCCCTAACGCCCAGCAATCCACGGCCCGGTCATGACCCTATACAGAAAGTAACACAATTATGTGATCTGCGATAAAAAGTGTTTAATCATTCTAATTATAATTAGAGGTATAAGGTTGCCAGTTGTCACTAACCTTATTTAACACAATTTCAGGAGCTACATATTCTGGTGTACCAGCGAATGTCCATGTTTTGCTGTTTGGAGAAATTCGTTTAGCAAAGCCGAAGTCAACCTAAAAACATAATTCAATAACAGTTTGGAAATCAGAAAATAAGTAAGTAAAATTTATTTATTCATCGACAACTTATTCGGGTAAGTACCAGTTTAATGTATCCTTGTTTGTCGAGCATCAAATTTTCCGGTTTGAGATCCCTGTAGATAATATCTTTAGAGTGAAGATATTGGAAGGCTTCGACTACACATGCCATCATGAAACGAGACACGTTCTCAGGGAAGTAACGTTGTTTCTGAAGAATGGTCCACACGTCACCGCCCAGCACTGGCTCCATAAGGAAATATATATATTTTGAATCCTTAAAAGTACGATACAATCTGTAAAGTGACACAGATAAATCATTGATTAATTAAATAATTGCGTGACAAATGTAAGGATTCATAATTAATTGGTGTTTAACTTGGAAAATGTATTGACGCGTTACTTAGTTATCTCGAGATAAGGGACATCTGATAGTTACATTTCATAATGCTATTATTTGATGAACACAGGTCGACTAAATAAGTAAATAAAGCACCTGCAAATGAAAGAATTGTTGCAGGACATCATGATATTCTTCTCATTGTAAGCATGTTCCTGTTGCTGCTGCTGCACCATGTCGACTTTCTTGAGACATTTCAGTGCGAATGTGAGCTTCTGATTTGGTTTGTACTGCACAAGTTCGACGCGTCCGAAACCTCCCACACCCAAGGTACCCACAATTTCCAAGTCTTTCAACTCCACGTATCCAAATTCTGGAATAAATTTTTATTACTTTCAACCACAACAAAATATACCAATCTACCTGCTACTGAATGATAAAATGTGGCATATTTGCGTCAAACCCCTAATCAAGGATTAACAACATTTAATAATATATATATTTTTAAACTTTTGTCGAATTTACGCATTTATTTTCATCACACATTTTATGGTTAACAATTGAAGTAGTGCAAAACTTCAGACGAGACGTGAAAATGGAAAAGTAAAGCCCCCTCAAATATTTTTTATTCTCCTGCTTAAAAGATTTTTTGTACCATTTAATGAAATATTTGAGATAATAAAGAAATAACTGAATAACACAATGAGGACAATTACCAAGTACACACTTATCGGGTGAAGAGAGTGTTTTGAGTAATTAGTCCGAAATTAGGTATTGTAATTTGCTTTTACCATGCCCTTTTTTGAAAGTATTGGGTTTTTACAAATTGTTAAAGCATATTTAAATTAAATAAATAATATTACAACTCAAAATTGGTAAAAAGTCTATAATAATATGCATGTCATGAGTGCTCTACGAGAATATGTCGTTTTTTATATATCAACAACTTACCACTTATGACCACTGACACTTTCTTTTGTGTGGATGATCGCGGCGTTGCATATGAAACGTGTTTCAGTTCTTTTATATTGCCAAGAAATTCCGTGAAAGGTCTGAAAAACAAACAATAAAAATACCTACTTAGAGATTCGTAGTCAAAAAACCTAAATATATACAAGTGACGAGAAGCATTGAAGTTCCTAGCGCAGTAACACGGTAACACGTATAAGCACTTTATTGTGTTAGTGTTTCCTATAGACTTTCAATAGATATTGCAGAGAAAAAAGCAAGTGTGAAGGCGTATGTCTAAATAATATGTGTCATTTCATAATATTATGTAGACTACTTTCCAGAAGTAGATAAACGTTGTTATTAGTAGTTAATGATTATTAAATTAATAGGAAATCTTATCTTTTAGATATATTTTACACCATTTGTAATGGATGCGTTCTTAAAAACATGGATGTAACAAGGTAGTGATATTTGACCAAAGTTAGGACATTCAATTCAAAAAATATCCACACGTGTACTTATTTATGAGGTAATCACGTATTTCACGTAGCAATGGCAATGAAATTGAAATGATAAGACGTTGTGCGTTAGACGCTCTAAATTAGTCGGTAGAGGTTCAATAGTAATTAATGATTGGATGAATCGTATTAACTCCAAAATCATCTATACATACAGATAAAATAAATTGGAGTGCCCGTTTGTAATATTGAAATAACCGCATTTGAATCCATACTATGCTTCTGTAATGGCGATAATGTAAGCTGTGACCATGGCTTCTAGTTCCCCAGGTGACTGAACAGACGTGATTTTTTGTGGAGTTATCTGTTTCTCCGACAGAGAGGTTCTGAGGTGAGATTTGAACTTATTCCAGTTAGCCTTTTTGGTGTAGTAGACTCGCGTCGTTGTGGGCTTTGTAATTTCTAATGCCTTTTCCAACTGCAAGTCAAATGTAATGGCATTATGATCGGAGGTTGTAAGGTCTCTGTCGACTGTCCAGTCTTGAACTCTTGCCAGCAAAGATGTACTACAGGCTGTAACATCCACTATGCTTGTGTCAAATCGGTCCCGTCTGAGTGCTTCAAATGTTGGTGTATCTCCTGTATTGAGTATGTGGAGGTCCATTTCGTTAAGGAACGAATTATAGTCTGCTCCCCTTTGGTTTTCAGAACTGCTGCCCCACCAAGGGCTCCAGGCATTCACGTCTCCAGCTACGATGAGGTTTTTTGTTTTTAGTTTTGGTATGAATTCCTTTAAGCGTACCAGATTGTGATGTATATCCTGATCTCCCTCAAGGTAGACAGATATCACTCCAAGCTGCAGACTACCCGAGGTTATCAGTACGGCTGCTTCGGTTTCCGTTACTAGCTGAGGATCGTGTATAATCCTCAGGCTATCCGAAAAGACTATTACAGCCTCTTTTACGGGCTTTTGGCGATTGACAGTACACTGAATTACTCGTGTGCCCGGGTATTGTTTTATTTCACCGGTATTACCTACATAAGGTTCTTGCACCAAAGCTATTGAAATACCCTTCCTCTCCGCCACTTGCATTAATTCTATGGTTGCTAGCTTAGAGCGATGCAAATTTGCTTGGATGACGTGCATTCTGCTACCGCTCAATCCCGAGGGAGTCCCACTTCGTTGCACCTGGTCAACTTTAGCAATACGCTATGCGAGATCGTGCTATAGCGTCCCATTTTTGTCTTTCTCGACAGACGTCACTAAAAGCATTGTGTGCAGTGTCGGCGCTGACACCCTGCACCTTCAGGCAATTCCTGCATTCATTCCAGGCATTCCTGAATCCATACTATAGGTACATACCAGATTTTTTTTTTATTATTTTTGTCTGTCTGTCTGTTTGTACTGGTTAATATCTGAAATGACTGGACCGATTTTGACTTGCCTCGTTGACCGAGTCTGAGTTATGTCGTGGTAACCTGGAGGTTTAAGACGCCCTCTTCTCATGGATGAGGGTGCGGGTTCGAAACCTACCGACGGCAAGTACCAATGTGACTTTTTCCGATTTATATGTTTCTAGGATTATCTAGATACCACTGACAAACGGTGAAGGAAAACATCGTGAGGAAACCTGGGCTTATAATTTCTAATTATAAGTTTGTAACCGCCAACCTGCATTGAGCAAGCGTGTGAGAAGAGGCTTTGCTCAGCATTGGGCATTTATAGGCTATTGATGTGTGTATGTGATTCCCGGCTGGGACAAAGTATTACTGGGTTTTAAAAAAAAATCTCAGTAGTATCTTGGAATCTGGAATTGTGCCCGGTATATGGCAATAGGTTCACCCCCTATTACATAGGACTCATAACATAAATAGTGAAAAGTGGAAGTTATAGGTATTGTACAGTGGCATTAAGTATTTTAAGGTGCACCTCTGCCTACCCCTTCGGGGATAAGAACCGTAATGTTAATATAGAAACAAAAATCAAGTTATGCCCTAAAGTTCGTATTCATTAATAATAATATCACGTGTCATCACACATTGAAGACCTTACCCTCGATCCAGCGTAAGACATTCTACCCCTGGCGGTTGTGCGGTGACGGTGGCCAGCCTCAGAGCCTCGTGTATCAGCGCCTGCTCGCCGAAGTACTGCCCGCGGCCGAGTGTCCCCACTAACTGGTCACCACTATCACCGTCTCGCTTTGTCACTGCCACCGTGCCACCGCGGATTATGTAAAATTTGTCTCCACGCTCACCCTGCCGCACTACTGGTGTACCAGCTGCAAAGAACTCCTGAAATAATTGATGATCATTTTCTTTCTGTTTGTTTAAGGTATTTACTTTTAATATTACACTATGAACCAACATTACCCTCTTGAGGAATTCGGACATTTTCCCGAGCACGAGAGGATGAATACCCTGAAGTAGCGGCACTGATGATAGAAAACGTATATTGTCCTCTTGCTCTTGTCGACCACTGCGGACCATGATCTTTTGGAAAACACGTCGCTCTAACACCCAGACTTTTGCTTCTGTTATACCTATTTTCAAAAACATTGATAATAAGTATGTAGGTAGGTAGTACCCACATGAGATCATTTAAAAAACACATCACATAACAATTATATATCTACTTCTTCTACTTACATCGAATTGATGCGAATCGTTTAGCTTTGTAAAGAATTGCGAGTTCACCAAATGCCTCTCCTTGTCCGAATGTTTTTACAACTTGTCCTCCTTTGAGTGCTTCAAATTGTCCACTTGCTGAAACAAACAGGTGACTCCCACTTTCCCCCTCTCTGATAATGAGACTTCCTGCAGGGAACTCTTGAGGATTCATCGCTTCCACGACTGCTGCTAGGCGGTCATCATCCATTAAGTTTCTTAAGAAATCATTGGCCATAACTGCCTTTCTTATTTGTTCCGTGGACCTATAAACAAAAGCAATATATGTGAATGACATAATATGGTAACTTCAAATTAGAGAAAAATTAAGTATTAGGGAAAGCATTAACTTACTTTTCATCTTTTTTAAACTTCTCATACTGCAACTGTACGTCAGTAAGTCGTGTGGCATCAGCTGGCACGTGCGGGGCGATCACACCGCTCTTACGTCGACCGCGGCGCTTTGCTGTGTTCGCCCGCACTATTTCCGAAATAGTTTTGCGCCCAACACTAAACTTAGGGTCGTCACTGGAATTATCAGTATCAGATTCTCGACTAAGGCGCACTCCATTACTTGTACTTTCAGTACTAAGTTTTCCTTCATCTTCATTTTCATCATTATGTTTCTTCATTTCTTCATTTTCTTCATTATCTTTATCTACCGGTACAGGAGGTGAGCTATAGTCAGGTAGTATCTGTAAGGTTAAAATATTTTTATTAGGACATCATCATCACATCAACAGCCTATAAATGCCCACTGCTGAGCAAAGCCTCTCCTCACACGGAGAAGGTTTGAGAATTAATCACCACGCTTGCTTAATGCGGGTTGGCGATTACAAATTTATAATTAGAAATTATACGCCCAAGTTTCCTCACGATGTTTTCCTTCACCGTTTGTCAGTGGTGTCTAGATAATCTTAGAAAGCACATATAGTTAACTCGGAAAAAGTCACATTGGTACTTGCCGTTGGACGTTGGTAGGTTTCAAACCCGCACCCTCATCCATGAGAAGCGGGCGTCTTAAACCACCGGGCCACCACGACACGTTTATTAAATAAATCACGGGTCACAAAATAGTACAATACTATCTATAATCTACACATCACACCCAGACACAAAAATAATAACTTAATGGAAAAAATATAAACCACAAAAAATGATTTTTAGAATTGATCTCGTGCATAGAGCAACACGGGCCACCGGCGGACTCCGTGTTGCTCTATGATCTCGTGCCATGATGCCAATTAGTCAATCACCCGCGCGACTGCACAAGTAGTATACCTAATATCAATGTAAGATGTAGCAAACTACACTAAATAATTAATGATTAACTAAAATTAAAACTAAGTATGATTAAGTAAATCATCATAGTTTTTCCCACAGAAATATTAATAGTACTTGTTTTATTATATCTATGGGCTTTCCTGTCTTTTTCTAAGAGCGGATCGTGGATGATTGTTCAAAGAAATCGCAACAGAATAGATGAGATCGAAATATGGTGCTGGAGACGACTACTGAGAATAAGCTGAACTTCGCATCGCACCAATGTAAAGGATTAGGTACCTAATTATGAAAAGAGCTTCAAAGACTTTTATCGATTGTGAAAATATATAATTACCTAATATAAATATTTTATACTAGCTTCTGGCAGCAGCTTCGCCTGCGGTCCCGTGAAAATAGTAACCCATATGTTATTCCACATCATAATCTACCTCTGTTCCAAACATACCCATTTCATCAGTCGTAATTTCATGTAGGTATTGTTTATTTAATTAGCTATTTTTTTATTTATACAAATATGTGCTAAATTATATAAGTACGAATGAATGACTAATCATCCTCGAAAAGCATGAAAACAACACCCATGAACATAAATTAAAAATTTCGTGCAGTCGCCATCTTGAATTAATATTTTTATATAAAATCGTTACAGCACAATCCGTTTCATCACCCTCGAAAACCATGTAAACGAAACCCATGACGATAAATTGAAAATTTCGTGCAGCCGCCATCTTCGATTTACATTTCGTCAGTACCATCGGTTTTACCACCCTCGAAAACCACTAACATCGATAAATCAAAAATTTCGTGCAGTGGCCATCTTGGATTTATATTTTGAGAGCAACATCGCATCGTGTATACCACCCTTGTCTCAACTAATTTGGTCAATACAAAAACGGATTTATTAAAAAATACTACACCAATTAAGGGAATTTTTCTAATAGTTTTGTACGCAAGTTTTTCTAATAGTTTGTTCCTTGATTTATGACATATCCATAAAATTATTTATAAAATTCTCAAAATTAAATTAATAACTTGATGAGAGTGTAAATGAAAACGAGTAATTTCAAAAACATCATAATTTACTCAATTTTGTTAAAAGTGACCTTCCCTATCATGAATACAATATGTCGGCCGACACGCTTCCTTATCTGTGTTGTGTACCGGTCACTCTTGACCTGAATGAGCGTCTTATTTATTCAGCCGCTTCTAAGAAAGCCGCTATAACCAGCTCAGGAGTAAAAAAATAATTGTAACAAGTTTCGTTATAAAATACGTCGAATATTTTTTATTTCTATAACGGTTATACAGACAGAAAACAAATTTTACTGATTGCATTTTTGGCATCAGTATCGATCCCTAATCAGAGAGAAAAATATTTCCAAAATATATATCACCCCTGATATAAATATTTTTCATGTACAGAATTGACCTCTCTACAGATTTATTATAAGTAGGTATATAGAAGATATATACATAGATTAGGTACAATCGGTCATTTATATTAACGACCTATATTTTTTAACATTAACCGCCGCGTACCTAAGTCACCGGTGATCGTAGTTATCAAAGGAAATCAACAGCTATTTTCCGATGGCAGTCAAAGGCTTAAAAAATAGTACAAATGTCCTTAGGAGATACGTAGTTAACTTTTTTCAATTAGGTACATATTTATTTAGTTCATCCGAATTTTAGGTAGTTCGGTCACAGTATTACATGAGGTCACCAAACGTTTCGCAAAACCAGTGTAGCGCGTAGTTCGTAACTTCATTTGTCGTAGCTCGTAGCACATTGCTACGCTACTGTAGAGCAGCCCTGTTCTACGTCAGCAGTCTACGAATAATTTGTAGCTTTGTTATTTTTATTATTTACAAATGTTCATTAAACTACAGCTAAGAAGTTCATATGAAAGACCTCTCTTTGCGTATATTTATCAGTTAGTCGTTGTCGCTTTAACGTCTCACCTATACTGGTACTTTACTCAATACTCAACACAATTACTCTTATTTTTATTATTTTTTTTATTCCGGAGACAAATTGTCCTCAACGGGTCACCTCTCGAAGTTATTCAGGAATACATCTACCTGGGACTAACCCTGCAGCTTTGTAGGAACAACTTCGAGAAGGAGGCCCGTAGTAGAATACAGCTTGGCTGGGCAGCATATAGAAAACTTAATCAAGTCTTCTCGTAACAGATACCGCAAAGCCTGAAGACAAAAGTCTTCAACGTGTGCGTCCTTCCAGTAACGGAGCCGAGACTTGGACACTGACTGTGCGACTGGTCCATCAATTTAAGGTCGCGCAGCGAGCTATGGAGAGGGCTATGCTCGGAGTCTCTATGAACGATCGAATCCGAAACGAAGTGAACGACAGAGAACCAAAGTTATCGACATAGCCCAAAGGATCAGTAAGCTGAAGTGGCACTGGGCCTGTCACATTTGTCGAAGAATCGATAACCGCTGGGGTAAACGTGTTCTAGAGTGGAGACCGCGTCTATGCAAACGCAGTGTAGGGCGCCCTCCAGCTAGGTGGAGTGACGACATCCGCAAGGTGGTTGGCAGTGGCTGGATGAGAAGAGCTGAAGACCGAGCTCAGTGGCGTGCCATTGGAGAAGCCTATCTCCAGCAGTGGACGAATACGGGCTGATGATGATGATGAAGTGGTTAAAGGACTAGGTACTACAATACAATACAACTAAAAATATAAAATCATTGCAAAACATGGTTGGGCTTGTCGCCTTGCTTTATGTCGCCCTATATACCCAGGTGTTCAAGAAATTATTATATTAAAACTAGCTGACCCGGCAAACTCTATGTAGCCTAAAAAAATGTTTCTCACCATTTAAACCTTCCCTGGACTTCCACAAACGTTTCAAGACCAAGATTAGCGAAATCGGTTCAGCCGTTCTCGAGTTTTAGCGAGACTAACGAAGGGAAATTCATTTTTATTTATATAGAAGATATATACTTACATGTTAAGTATTCAGAACCTATTACTTACTTAGTTAGCGGATTGATAACGTGTCCTGTATGTTAGACGAAAACATTACCCTCGACCATGGGTCGCGGAGAAGCTAACGGTTTGCCGGGGCTCCGGCTCGACGTGCAGGAGACGAACGGGGTGGTTTTTAGTCAGTAAAAGTCTGACATTCCCTCCCGCTCACCCAGGCGGGAGCAGTCATTCGATGATTTTCCCCCCTTAAAAAAACCCTCGACCATGTACCTAGATATTATTACCTATCTAAGATGTTACAATAGTGTTACATTTGGTTTTAATTACAAAACAAAGAAACCGTTTCTAAATTAAAAAGTTAATCCCTCATTACATTTCATGATTGCTATCTGCTGTGATTGTAATAACTTATCATAATAACCTTTATCAAATAGTCGATTGATTTTTAGTTATTCAAGATGGCATTCTGATAAACAAAAATTGTACCTACCTATTGTATGTTTTAATACGAAACTTTTTTCATTTAAAAATATGATAATTCTGTTATTACTTTATTAGGCAGGTCCTTTAGCACTTACAATACCTTCTTATTAAGATTATAATACTGATAAAAGATGACCGTCATGCATGCCACGCCAGTTCTTCCCCGAAAATGTAGGCCGAGATGTTTATTGCACCCTTTTCCAATAAAATAAATATTTGTTTGTTCCATTATTAATAATTTAGATATAAAGGACTTAACATCAACTAGAATTAACATCAACTACCTGTACTATACTCATCAAATTCTATATTGGTCTTTAAATTAATTTTACCAAGTGTAATTAACCAGTTCGTGTTATTAAAATCAAACCATTTATTCAAGTACTCTAGAGCTTTGTCAATAAATAACAAAAGAATCCCCTGTAGGTACATACCTATTTTATTAGTCAGTTCCGGTGAAGATAAATTTTTTGTTTGTTTCATAGCCAAAAAAGAAATCTTGTTTTCTTTGTGTTAATCCATCTCTAAAACTAACCGTAATCCCAATAATATCTAAAATATTTATGGAGATGCCTTCTAGGCATTTAACAGCTTTATTAAATAAATAACTACAAAAGTGTTAATACATTTCAATAATATCATGATTATTTTCGTGAAGCATCAATAAATAAATGTCGTAGAACCAGTGGACAGTGGTGGAAACTTACAAAAGTAGCTTCTAATTGGTGACCAATTTAAAAATACTTACGACTTCAATAGAAATGAAATTTGCAGAAATAAAGTATTTTCGTGTACTGTATTATTCTTATATAGTATAGAGTACAATTACTTGTGTCTGTAAAACAGGTACTCGACGAGTTAAATAACGTACGATACTTTATTAAAAAGTAGATACGGGTAGCAACCCTATTTATAAGTGACATTGTCCATCTTTTTTTCAACGTTCTTGTGTTGGGTACCTACCTACTCATAATATAACTGCAGTACTGAATACAGGTACTTATTACGAGTTCAGATTTATGGAATGTTCAATTATTTCACTTACGTAGATAGTTTCACGGCGGTCATCGACACCGTTGGTAGCGGGTACGGTGAACTTGTATCTTGCTCGTGAGCTCAATCTGAACGGCGGACAGAGAACCATTGTATGACGATGGTAATTTTCAAAGTCAATTATAACACGTAGCACTGCATGACACTAGAAGCGCACTGAGGAGCTCTCGCATCGAAACTGCTTGAACGACGCAACAACGGCCTTTATCGCTCTTACCAGATTATCTCTCTATTCCGATTGTTTTAATTATTTCACACTAAGGAATCATTACCTACTGTGTTATCAGAAACCCTCGCAATCTTATCGACATAACACGATTGTCACCCAATCAGTATTATTCACGGAATAGCAATTAAAATCTGCTATTTCGCGCCAAACGAAATGTTTATTAATAATTTGAATAGTTATATGAATCAATCAAGGAAAATACAGGAAATCAAACTACGAGAATTTTATACTATAATTTATTTATAACGTAAATGAGTACACAATGCCAAAGGCTTTAAAATGATTCACTTCATTTAATATTTTTCATTAGAAAAAAATATTTACAATTCAAAAGAGAAAATCAGCTTTGCAATCCATTAAAAATTGCCACACAAAAAAGGAAAATCGTATTTCACTTTAGGTATCACAAATTGTTTATGAGGGGCTCGCTGTGCACTTGGCTTGAAAATATCTCTGTTAAATAATATTCAACTAGTATTTCTATGTAGATCCGTGCCTTAATAAAATGTGCAAAGTAGGTATATCTATAAAATGTGCCAAACGGAAGACATTCATTATGTAACAAACCTATTGTATGTAGTTTACATTAAACTTCAAAAACATTTTGTCAACATTATACTTACAATGTACAGATACAGGAATTGAGCACGGTATTGTAATAGTACTTCAAATACTGGCCGGCTGCAAGTGAGCTCGAGACTAGCTCGGAAACTATGCGCACGCGCACTAGCCCACTATGCAGCTGTAACGCATACTGACTGCTTTGATCACTACAAGCAACTTCAAACATAATTTATAACAAATAGTTATTCATCTTATTACAAACGATAGCTATGATTAAGTCAACAGTGATAATATGGATCTTTGAACGCCAAACTTATTTACGTTCTGGGTAGTAGACCAGCAACTAATCGATCCCGTAATCAGTATGCGTTACACCATCTAAATATTTAGGGGTTGATCAAACTAGCAAATTGTAGACGTGGCATGTGGCGATGTCGTGCAATAAAATGAGTGTCATGCACGGCCACAAGTTGCGAGTTTGCCACGCAGGAGCTAACAATAACCCCTCTAATATCTGAATAACCTACAACACCAACTGAACAGCTTTGACGAGTGCAATTGACGAACAAGTGATACTTATCAACTCTGGCTACTTTAACAATATGACCCGAGGGCACAGTAATACGGCCGCCGGTAACACTAAGTATACCTATGTACAGTGGACGCTGCCGCCGGCTCGCAACTAGCTAACACCACTACTGATATGATTTATTATGCACAATATAACAATTCGCTTTATCTAATGAATACAATATCGAAGCCGACGATCGTATAAGTTGTGCACAGCATGAAACAAGAGTAGTATGAAACTTTAATTTAACATCTCATAAAAACTGAGAAACAAACCGCGTTACAAAATACATATCCTTAATTTAATGATTATAATATTTATAATACATTGTTCTTGATGTTTTTTTTTTCAATCTTATTGTAGCACACTAACCATTTTGTCAGATATGTAATTTAAATTCTGATTTTTCTCCAAGTAACAACAATTTGGCTTATATTATGTAACTTTATACAAAACTTAGGTATTTTGCTTTTGTGATTTATTTAAATATCATTAAAATCATACGTAAAGACTATCAGATAACATAATAAAAATTATGTAGGTACATTTTAAAATTCCAAGTAAACAAGACGAGATTTGGTCAGAACTTGATCGAATTTTTAATATCAAAGTTCGTAAGTAATAATAATTTTATTTCCAAATAAGGTCCTGTTAACTTGTTATAAAATTTGATGATTTAAAAATATATAACTCACAAACATTTGTGACTTTAATTGATACAAAATACTAAAACTAAACAATAAAATCATCAAATAGAATCACATGTACTTGTTTCTGTACTCAGATACAAAATCTTGCATTAATCAGACAATTCCTACAAACCTAAGATTACTTAAAATAACGCATCCACGCATGAGTATTCAGCAGTAAAGCACAAAATATTGTTCGAAGCTGCAACGAGACTACAATAACGTACGATAAAGTAAATATAACTTATTATATAAAAGCCAGTGGCACTAAAAGGCGAGAGTAATAATTATAAAAATAATCAGTAAAAGGAAAATATGACACGAACTGCTTATTACATATCGTACGGAAATAATAGAAAAAAATCGAGACAAAGATTCGACAACTAATTCCGTAAATATCACATGAAACCTTTACGAGTAAGCACCTTTACTATTTATTTATTATTTTAATAAAAGATTGTGCGCGAAGACTAGAATTCTGCAAGACAAATAATAATAATAATGTCATGGAAATGCTACTTGAGTTAGTTATTCTAATTGTGGTTACAAGATGACACAACTGGGTGAGAACATCACCTTAACGCCTTTAATTAATTAAAGCTATCATCAGACGACACCGAGCTGTGACGAGAGCCATGCGCCCCTGCACCAGCCCAACGTATTCGGTACTCTATCTCTACTTGCTACGTAAAGGTTTGAAAAATAAACGGACAAAGCTCTAATACGTCGACGTCGACGCAACCTCTCATACAGACACATCTGTAACACAATGTGTACCATATTCCTTAGGAATTTACAATAACATGAGAAGATTGACAATCAACTATGAATTAATCAATTCAGATCTATATCTTTATGTATAGTCATTGAACTACGTTAAGATTAAACTACTCTAGATGGCAAACATGTAGATATGTCCTTAGAAAAAAATTACTTAGGAGTAATGAAAACTTTCAACAAATGAAGTAAAAAATAAAGTCTGTAGTTTTGTTCTAGTTATCATCTATCTACACCACGACTTATAGATTTCCCAAGTTTTTCTCATTGAAAGACTATTAAATCTATCGAAAAGGGGTTAATGTCATGAAACACTTCTCCGAATACGTATGAATCGATGGGTTTTTGTGCTTTGGTATAAACGTTGAGCGAATTCATAGATGTTACAATACTTTAAAATCCTAATGCAAATGTTAGATCTAAAATTTACAACTTCTAAAAGGGTTGGACCCGTATGCGTGTTTGTTCTATAAAAATGAAAGTCCGTACGCCAGACGAAAATATGAAATAGCATTGTAAAAATAAGACATCGTTAAAAGACAATAGAATAATTATTGAATAAACATAACTACAAGGAGAAAATCTCAATGATATGTAAGAACTCGGAGGAGTTCCCTTCTTCCCTTATAGACTACAGCTAAAGCGTTTCGCCTACACTCTGTAAAACATTCGCTTATTTATAAACTAGCAACCGATTTACATGAAACCAGGAACACGAGCATACGCCTGGTTCAGACCGCGAGACAGCGCTGGTGGAAGGAGCTGGGACTGTCGACAACGTAAGCTTTAAGCGAATTGTACGAACTGAAATGACACAATATTAGTTCTACCGACTAACAACCCACGCATACACGTAATCTGCTCGCGTTGACTGCTAAAAGTATAAGAGACACGCTTCAAGCGGAGCGACGCGAGGCAGAACGTTGTATACCCGGGACGTTGGTCGCATTCTCCGAGGGATAACTTACAGCCTACAGCTAGGTCTCATAAACTGTATAGAGTACAAGGTAACTTTAGAAAATATATAGTACGATGTAAAAATAACAACCAAATAAATGGCACCACATTGATATCGCACCAAATAACGTATGTACTCCAAAATAGTTGATTTGAGATTTCTATTGTCTCTGCGTACATACATGTCTACAAGATAATAACGGTGATTTTACTATAATTCATATATTATATATAAACCGCTGTATTTAACGCCAACTAACTCGCGTTCACAAATCGAATTTATTCTATTTAATAATTAAAAATGGAGACCATTTAACGTTAACGAGTATATTATTATTTAGAATAAGATCGCTGAAAATTTATTCAGGAAACACCATTTTGGCAATTTTGAATTAAAAAAATATCAAGACCGAATTAAATGTTTCCAAACAAGTATTTACAATTTTATGATATGCAAGTGCAAAGCTCACTAAATATATCATTACAATATAGTAAACATTTCTTCTATTGTCCATGATACAAAGACAAATTGTAACATCTACACTAGACAGTACGGTACGAAGGATCGGAAGATGAATTCACTTCTGTTAAAATTATAGTAACCCTTAGAATATCTAAATAGAACGAAAGCAATCACTTTAGCTGCTCGCACTTGTATAGCATTAGGTACACAATAATTTACATTAAGTTCAACTTATAAAGTATTCTGTTAGAAATTTTAATGACTTTGGTATTTCATAAGTTGTGGACGCCGACAACTCGACGACACGACGACTGCACGACTCCACGCTCGCTCGTTACTTCGTTAGTTTGCTACCCAAGCTTAGATACTTACACGGTAGTCTGCTAGCGTTTATTATTGATCCTTAAATTTATGAATTATGTTTGTACGTTTACAAAGAGAGTTCATTGTCATGTTAAGGTGAAGGTGACGAAGGTATTCGAGTTCAATCGTTTCCATCCAATGGCTTTCTAGTATGGCGCAAATCTGTTGTAGCCACTTCTGTACACTGCAGTCTGGAAGTCAAATTATATTACAGTTATTATTACAGATACGACTTCAGTTATTGTGAGTCTGAAATCAAATAATAATCGGAGGAACAAAAACAAATATATCTTACCCCGTATCCTGATACTGGTCCGATTCCATGGCCTAAATATGGATCTGCATACTCTCTACCGTACCTGAAATTGGAATTATTGTAACTATTATCTGAAATTGCAATTTTTAATATAGAAGTATTTAATTTACTAATTTATATTATATTTTGGATCTATACTCAATAAGATTGCTTAGCTTTGTGCGTTTTCATATGCACATAGAAAAGTAAGAACTGAAGAAATATTTCTAGTAAATAGTTAAAACGTGGAGTAGATCACAAGTGCTATAACAAGTATAAGTTACAACTTCAATCTATAGAATTTAAAGTTATCATGTTAACGTGTAGCATTACAATACATTATTATGTTAGGTAAGTGTGTAGGGCGTAGTATTTACATGAGCGACATCAATGTGTTGGAGGTGGACGTTGGTACTGACGTGGCAGCGAGTGGCGCGAGCGCGGGCGCAGGCGCGGCACTGACGGCGGCGGCGGCAGCGCGCGCGGCTGCGCCGTAGTTAGCGGCCGCGGCCGCCGCCGCCGCGTGCTGCGCCGATGTTAGCGGAGACTTCAGTAGGGGCGCCGCTGCCGCTGCCGCTGCAGCTGCCGCCTGTAACGCACCCTCGGTTAGTCCACTCTGCTGCGTTTCTCATCCCACTCTCGAACCTTCTATTATGGAACAGTGAGCCCACAAAGGCAGGAAACGATTTCCTTTATCTTCATCGAGAACCCCATTTGGGTATACGATACATATATCGCGTTGCCTGGCCAATCTTACCGTAAATGAAGACCCACAGACGACGGAATGACGTGAGATTAATTTCCATGTCACAATAGCGATCTGCGTAGGCATAAGTTGGAAGCGAAAACAATGCAGAATATACATTTAGGTACTACATACAAGAAAAAGATTGTGCACGTTTGTAAATACTATATTATATTTACATAAAATTTGATTAACATGCAACTCTGCCGACACACGTTTCTAAGATGTTTAATGTTATTTTCTGCACAAACCATCGATTTTAATAACCGATTTTAAGAATGAGATGCAGACTAATAAATTGTTAATGTGGTCGATGAATATGATCATGCATTTAAAGAAACAATTATGACGGATCGATACAAACTAAATCAAACGCTGAAGTTTTCTAATCTATCTACATTTTGTTATCAGTGATTGTTAGTGTACTTAACATTGCAATTACATTTGTGGGCTCAATGTTCTACTCGCAGCATGGTATTAGCATCAGATAGATTCAACGTACAGCCTCAACATTGCCTAAAACTAAATCACCCACCACAATACCAACGAACAAGGATCAACTCAACAGAAAGCAAACCGCACGACCGACCGCGGCCGCGCGTGTGCCAAGTCCATCTGGTTACCACAAACACAATGTGCACCCTGCATTACGGTGGATTACCAACCAATAGGACCATACGAGTAATAAAAGGAGCAAACAAAATCCCAGCACTCACTCCATGATGGATATCGAACTTATACTAGCGTGGTGGAACATGAATCAGGAAGCGATAGAGATACAGATACAGTCGCATATCGAGCGAAACTGAACTCTAAAGGCGTGACGTTTACCTCGGCTGCCGGCTTCGCGGCCTGTAACAACACACGCACTGTCACCACCACGCAACCACGCTACGTCGCGTCGCTATGTCACTGATTCAGGGTCGGAGTCAGTTATTATTTCAATATTCATTGGCAATGGGAATGACATTGGATACCAACACTTAACAACTAACTTAATTACCTGGAGTCTGTAGTTGGAGTCAGCCGTCGCCGCGGCTGCTAAGAACGGGTCGTAATACACACTGCGAAGTAAAATAACATTATACACAAAATTATTTTATTTATTATATTATTTTATTTATCAAATCTATAGGTACTATACCGAATGAGACAAAATAGGAAAATTCTAATCTACTACGTAATATGTATAGTGCTATGAACACTAGTGTTCATGGTAGTGCTATTAGTGCGGAAACAGTATTAATGAAGAAACTAGATTACTGTCATCTACTATTGTTGTCTAATCAACACAAGTTTACAACATGGGGATAAGCATTTAACATTACCATATTCAAAGCTTAGCCAGCCGTCCTGTTAGAATTAATGTGTCTAGTGTTAGTTACACAGTTACACTACGTTACAACATGATGTGCTGGTGTGGTTAATTAAACATTAAAAAACTCATACCAAAGTTAGGTGGATCGGGGAGTAGGGATTGGGGAATCGGGGAGCTGGGGAGAGGCTTCCGTCCTGTTGTACACATATTGTTATTATAGTAAATATACTGTATAGAGAATGCAATCTACCTAGATTCCGTTTAAGAACCGTCTTTCGATACTTTTTAAGATAAAATCAAAGACGAAAAATGGGCCATGTCTCGTGAAATTAACAAGATTGCTTTACTAAACGATTTTTGTTTGATTATAAAAAGAGCAGACTGGTTTTTCTTTCATTTGTTATTTGCTTGTGACAACTTACGTGCGTCAAAGTAAATGTAGTGAACTAAATTAAAAACTAGCTTCTGCCTCCAAGTTTGTCCGTGCTTCACATATCAATCAGCTTTATTAAAATTTGTCCAACATTTTCGAAGATTAGCGTGGACAGATATCCAGAAATTTTATGGTTTTATTTTTTTTGTCTGCCTCGTTGGCTGAGTGGTCGCAAGTGCGACTGCCAGGCAAAGGGTCTAGGGTTCGATTCCCGGGTCGGACAAAGTATTAATGGGTTTAAAAAAATCTCAGTAGTAGCACGGAGTCTGGAATGTACCCGAATGTGAATTGTGCCCGATATATGGCAATAGGTTCACCCCCTATTACATGGGACTCATAACGTAAATAGTGAAAAGTGTTACTTCTGTGTGCACCTCTGCCTACCCCTTCGGGGATAAAAGGCGTGATGTAATTTTTTTTTTTAGGTAACCCTTAATTTAATTAAGTAGTGTAGCTTTTGGTTTATAATATTTTGTAGTGATCGGGGCTTATGATTGTTTGTGATGTTTCAGGACGCGTGGGGGAGGCGGGCGGTGCGGAGTGCGATGGTGTTACTCACGGCGCGTAGGCGTGCATCTGCGAGGCGTAGGCGGCCGCGCGGTTGAGCACGGCGTGCGACAGCGCGTGCTGGGGCGGGGCGTGCGGGGCGGGGGCGGCGGCGGCGTGCGGCGCGGCGCGCGGCTCGCGGCGCAGCGCTACATGCAACACACAGCGTGGGAGGGGGGCATGCATTACCTGCGTCGCTGCGCGGCGCGCGGCGCCAGCACGAGCGGCGGCGCGGGCGCGGCGGCGGGCGCGGCGCCCAGCCACGGCCACGTCACGCCCGACACCCGCAGCCCTGCGCACACGCACACAGGGCCTCACTACTCGCACGAGCTCGACCTGTGCGGCTCGTGCTACGTGCTACGTGTACTCGCCGAGCTACTGCGTGCGAGCTGACGTTCGAGCCGTGACTATCATACGGCAGACTGCCACTCGGTGCTTACATAACTTTTAAGTAGTTTTAAGTGCTCCGGACCGGTGCGTTGATGAGTATATCTCAATAATGGAAGTATCCCACCATACTTAGTAAAGGAGCTCGTGAATGACTGATTGTCATTATTATTTATTTTAAACGCGAAAGTTTTATGTAGTTGATCGATTAAATTTCATACCAAAATCGTAATGAAGGTTCTCACCTTCCGGCCACTGGACACACACTGCAACAAAATAAATTAGCTGTACTTATATTATATAATGTTCACCAATCAAATAGAAATGTTTGCTAGATCTATGAAAAAAAATCCTAAAGGACATTCTCTACTACAAAATGTAAATATGAAAAAGTAAGTGCATTACAGAAGTTACATTCATTCCAGCAAACGTCAAGGTATGAACATTCATGTGTCTTGTAGCTGTACAAAACTGTGTCAAGTTATCTAGCAAGCTGTCTAATAGACGGTGTCATCCGTTTGTTTACAGTGAGTAAGTTCGCCAGGCAATGCGACGCCGGAGACAGCCTTCTGCACGATTTGAACAAATTACTTTGAAAATATTGAGTAGGTGATGTAGGAAGGTTTCGATGAGGAATGCAATGCATTGACGAGTGGCAGGCGCGAGACTGTCTCCGGCAGCTGACAGTGGACTCATTCTCTAAATAGCATTCATCTAGGAGCATTCAGACAACGGAACTAGCCACATGTAATAATTAAGTACATTAACATGGACAACACCGATGTTTACAAGTTCAGCTCTCTCACCCAGAGTGGGAACTGATCCATTTCTAGCCAGAATAACTGGTTGGATTAGAAAGAGAAAATCCCAAGATGCATTATATTTTGTACAGGTGTGATACAATAAGGTAGATCATGTTATATAACGTGTCATCTTTATATTTCATTAGTTAAGTCATTGAATTGATTGCATTATCGATCGTCTCGCTACTTACCGTTGGGAACTGTCGGAGGTTTCTTTGTCTGCACTCTCGCTGTCGCATTATTAACCTGATTTGAAGTAAAGTCTATATGAGAATACGTACGGGTTTTTACTACAACAGTGCATTGGCTGATTTTATTAAGTAAATAAAAAAATAAATTTGTTTTAAATATTATGTCCAAAAATAGTTTACAATAACAAAGATTTAGATAGGTATGGCTCCAGTAACTCTTAAATCAAGTACACGCCACTTTCATGTTCAGGAGGCTCGAACCTCTCATACAGTTGGTTAAAATATAAAGTACAAAATGAAAATTGAATGTTAAAATCAGCCAATTGAATATCAGATGTCTCAGATAGACGATAAAACATATCAATAAACACAGAAAATTAATACAAACAAAATGTAAAATAAGTACTTTACTTTTCAAGTAGTTTCCGCCAATGACATCTGATATATAAACATAAAATAAAGGAAACTGGGGAGTTTATTTCTGAAATTAATATGGGATATTGAAGAATATTAAAGAGAGCATACTTTTCCACTCGTAACCACATTCACTCTGTTCTTGGTATAGGCGCAGACTGACTCGTCTACGAGAACACATTTCAGCGCTTGTATTATATTTAAAATGAATAGATAGAATGGAACTAAAATTTGTTTAGCAATCTTACCTCTGCGGCATTGTGACGATACGGTTCGTTCTACATTTCTCTGTGAGACACTCTCTCTTTCGATCGGCATATTAAATGACCGTCTAGAGAGTAAAGGGATAAAATAAATAAGGTTTGTTTGTGGATTAGACGCCGGCATACTTAGTGCTAATATGCGGGACCGCGGCGCGGCACGCTAGCATGACAGTAACTACAGAGCAGACGAGCGCAGGTTGCGGTGGGCGGTGGGCGTAGGAGCGGGATGTTAAAGTTACATAGTGCTACTGATGGAAGTTTATTGAGTCATGCACACCTCTATCTTTCTGCCCTCAACCACGGTGCCGTGAAGACGCTCTCGTGCTCGCTCCGCATCACCACTATTTGCGAATGTTACAAAACCGAATCCCTGCATGCAAGACAGACAAAACATGCATTAAAAACAGCGTCGCTCAAAAAACAACGTGCAACAAAAATTAACATTTATGCATTGCATATTCTTTTAAATATTCTAGTGAAATATCGAGAAAATATTATCGAGTCGATTACGTTGATACTTTGAGCGTATTCTAGCTGTATGGGTACACATAAGCGTTTGGATCACAGTAATAAATTAATGTAATGTCGCTCGACCTAGTAGTCTGTACTATTGGTAGGAGAGTTTGTATCACTGTATACAACGAGTCTTAAGGATTGTTTCGACACTAATTCATAGACACTACTAACTTCAATCAGAAAGACAAGTACTTATTGTGTGAGATGGTAGCTGCGATTTGTTCTATACAAAAACTCACCGATCATGCAGTGGCTACAATGAACTAGTTAGATCTAGGAACACAGGTGTACCCAAACGGATTTGGTAGTCCATTACAGAGCAACCACAGTACAATAAACCAAACATCGATACAGTACTCAGTTATACAAATAAAGACCACTAAGTAGTCGAAGTACTAACTTTTGGAATCATATCAATATTACATCTATTTTATTTTACAATACAACACGGTGCATATACTTTACAGTGCCCAAAACTAACACGTTAAAAATAAGCGGTTTTATTAATAAATATAGATAAAATATACACCTGGTACATCTTAGTTAATAATTATGTGTATCACACAAAATACTATCAAAATTGACGTAAACGGCATTCAGAACGCGTCGTACAATATCGGTCAATATCATTGAATCAATAGATCGTGCTCAGACAAATGAAACTACTTACTTTCAATAAATGGTGATAACCCATAGATACAAAAAGCAGCTAGCACAGCACACAATACAGTGGAAGAGACGAGTTGTGAAAGTGGCAAACAAGTTGCTGATTGTACGAAACGCTTACACTTATAAAAGCAAATGACAGCTCTATTATTACCATTCTGAGTGCAAATACTTATAACGTAAACATTAAATCTGGGCAGAGAGAAAGAGAAAGAAAAATCATTTACGAGAGGCGAGGGCCGTCCAACGCTTTACCGCGGTACCCGACGGGGCTGTAACACAACGCACACAGTGCAACAAGCTCTCAGTATCGTCGACAGACAGAATCGATCCAACAGACGAGGAAGACACAATTCACGTACTCCCCGGGAACATTGCGTTACTCTCGATCGGACAACATTCTAAGCCGGTGCAATCACATCTTTTACTTCTATCAATTACTTTCTAATCATTTCGAAACTTTGTCAACTTTTCTTACAAGCTCTACATGTACATCTAATAATTGTGGTATAAGTGTATTTGCAAACACAACAATAATCACTTACTGTAAAATCAAATTGTGAGTTATATAAGCCAAAACCGGTTAGAATGTTCCCAAATGAAAACGAAATGTTACCGAAGTTATACGAGATAAAGCCAAACTAAGTGATGCACCCTAAAAGTTACTTCTAGAAAAATAACTTACATCATATAGTCATTGCGTTACATTATATAACATTGTGTTTCCAGGGTTCAGCAAAATATACATGCCCAAAACTAATAAAAATTATATTCCCTTGTTAGGAAGCATGACTGAACGAATTTTTGTATTATTTATTAATAACATAGTGGACAGAAAATAGTAAGTACACTGTCAATCTAATAGACTAAATACATCAGAATGACTGATCATCCAAACTACAACATAGATGCATTAAGGGTTTGTACATAACAGTATATACAACATATCATAAACATAATAAAGATAAAGAAAATCTAAAAGATCGAAGCAGTTTGGACGATTGTACAACCTCATTAGTGATGAATAATAGAGCTGTCCTGAAAATATGACTTAGGAAATCAGCTGTTATAGTGACGATGCATCATTCTCTAATACTGCATATCCCAATGTGAGGCATTGAAGAAAAAATAACTTGGAGCTATTATTTAAAAGAGTAAATTACTTCTTGACATGAGCGAGCATGGACTACTTAGGGGCGGTCACCAAACTGACACAAGGAAAGCAGTAAACACGAAAAAGCGTTCAATCCAATCAATTATTATAAAAATATTTCGATAATAACTCTTTAAATTTCATGGGAATTATCATTTACAGTGAGTTGTTTTTTGAGTATATTTGAAATGTAAAATTAATGTTGCTAAATAACAATATATTGCACTAGTGACTTACTTACACGCCTACATTTATTACGAGCAAGTTATGAAATACTCTCACATTCGAACCGATAACAAATGCTACGTACTAATACGAGACAGTAAGTATGTCATTAGTGCACTCAAGTAAATATAGTTCAGATTTTGTCAAAATCAGAATAATAGACATTATTATTCAATGATAATATACAATGCAATTAGAGATACTGCACCAAACATTAAAACCAATTAAATATGCTATGAGAAAGAAGTTTGTTTTAAAAACACATTTATGATTATTTTACTAAGCCCATTTGCCTTAAAATTTTTGTTAAGCAAGGAATAAATTAATTAATCAAATCGCATGACTTGAAAATAAGTTAAACTTTAGAACATATTATTAGGAAATATTTGTATAAAATCGGTAGTTACTTTGGTTTGGGCAGCGATAACTAATAAATTGTTAGTACGACCTCTTAGCTACTGCACTTCTGCTTTCCAAACTTAAAAACAATGGCAACAATTTACTTGTAAATGTAAATTTATTCAAAATGTGAAATCTAAATACAACAAGTATTTCATACAGGTCAATAGCTATGAAGTGCAAGTTTGGTACATACATCAAAGGAACAATTTCTATTACACAAAAGAAAATAACTGTAAATTGTTCAACGAGGTTCAAACTATAATATTTTCGATAACAAAATAAGGTTTCAACTTGATGAACAAAAAATGTGACATCGTCGAGCCTCACCTTGGCTGGCGCTTTGCCTAGCATGTTGATGAGGAGCACTTCGGTATAGTGCGTGAGATTTATAAGTAAATAACAAGAGCAAGCTTTATTACTCTACTTTAACCTTGACAAACATACTCGACGAGTCTCCTTACTTGCCATGCCTTGTTTAGCGTCGGAAACATTATATTGACCTCGTTTGTTACGTTACGTGTAACTAAAACTTATTCCTTCAAAATAATCAAATTATTACAAAGAAACAAAAACAACATCTTTACTTACTTAGTTTAAAATTTTACTTATTTAATTGTTATACATCACATTATTGTTTCGTACAAATATAAAAAAAATATGTTTTTGTTTCCATGTATAAAATAAATTTTAAAAAGTGACCACATTAAAATCTGTTGTATAACTGATTTTAATGAGCCACTCAATTTTCAGCTGATGGCTGAAAGTGTTGCTTACCTTGGAACCACGTTCGTTGAAGATAATTTCTACATCGAGAATCGTGCCATATTGCTGAAAGGTAAAAGGTTAGAAATTAAATAGTTGACAGTTCGACACCGATAACGGGTTTGTTTGTTGCCATGATTGCAGGAAAAGTACTACAGTGAAATACGTACCCCAAACATATTTCTAAGATCTGGGTCCCTAAATCTGAAGGGTATATTAGAGACGTGTAATCGTTTAGGTTGTGACGCTTGTGAGACGGGTACGAGAGTAGTTTTTTCAGGAGTGCCGGAGGCGTTAACATTGCCTGCAGCGACGGCAGCGCTGACGGCCGCGGCCGCCGCGTGTGCCGCCGCCGCTTGCTGCGCCACTACGGCCGCGGCTTGCTGCGCCACCACCGCCGCCGCCACACTTACTGGTGTGCTCTCTTCATTTGCTTCGCCTTCGCTTTGCTGAAAATGGTTAAAAGTCATATTAAATTTAAAATAATACACATATTTACTTAATTAATTATTATGTTTTCAGCTTACTCACGTAATTGTTTGACGAGGAACTCGTCTAGTTTCAAGACATGCTAGAAGCTCACAGTTACGTGAGTAAGCCAAAAACATAATAATTAATTTAGTATATCTCACGAAAGTTATAATTTAAACATATTTAATAATCTATATTTATATTTATACATATTCTAATATTACATAAATAATATCATAGCGAAATAGAGGTCGGCAAAAAAGGTTTGTTACTTCGAAGTAAGAAAACGTTTCCGATCAGTAGATCAGTAAAGAGTGAGAGAGATCATACGCGGAAACGTTATGACGTTTATAAATTAAATTACTTTAGGTAATAAAAATGTATTGACTACGTAGAGACAACTTTTTCTGAGAAAACATCAATGCTATGATTCTACTTAATTACATGTATTTAAATTGATGGTAGTCATTAGTTATCGAATTTTATTCATCTAGTCCGTTTCAGTCATTTTCATTGATGTAATTTGCACGTCTTTTCGTCGTTGATTGTTATCTACGAACTCTTTTGAGAATTAACCAAATACATACATTGCCATCGAAATAAACTTACCGTATTATTGTTGTTGTTTTGATTTTCTACTGAATTTTGTGCGTGTGTTTGTTGAGGAGGCGGTTGAGGGGAGAAATTGGCTGGCGGCAAAGGCGCGGGCGGTGGTGGGCCTTCACTCTTAACGAGCGGGGGCTGAGGTGGTGCAGTCGGACCGGCAGCCTCAGCCTTCACGCCGGCGAGCGCGTCGCCGTTAGCTGCGAACTGTGCCGCGGCTGCCGCAGCCGCCGCCGCCGCCGGGAACGGGGTCGCCATACCCGTCCCCACCATATGCTGAAATTAATAATAATTAAACAACATTATAGCTTCTTGTGACAAATCATTCACCATTCCTCTTTATATGTGTCATCAGAACGACATTGATCATCAAAGAATTCCGAGCTATTTATCTCAGGGACGCGGTCTAGGTAGCTTATGTACTAATTCTGTCGTAATAAATAAACCCGCTTATAGTTGACGTTTCTGGGCTGCGAATCGAAATATTGACGCGAAGAACTCGTGCCAAAACACGAGCCACCCGAGCATGCCTTAGCTTCTTCACTGAAAAGCAATTTCACAATGTGGAGCCCTAAACGCACAGTATGAAATGAAACTCTGGCATTATGTTATTTAGTTCGTTAACCCAAACTGTACCTATAAATTAGTTTAAAAAGATGGCATCTAGATCGAGAAGTCAAATTGCAACGCTCTAGGCATCCTATTTCAAATGCATTTAACTGTAGGCTGATTTTACAATGTTATAACACTTTTCCTAATTTAATCTGTTAAACAATGTTTAGATTGCATACATAATAGGTATGACAATTTAAAATAACGTCACAATTAAGAACGTTATTCAAAAGAGTTCAACAAACTAATTAATTATTCAAATACTGGTTAAATAGTAATATTGTAGATGCCTACTTCTTGTATTATACATACATATAAAGTACGCATGTATCTAAGTTCGTCAAAACTAACTAGGATCCACCCTGTTTTTATGCTTTTGTCAAAAAGCATCTATCTGTTTCTGGTTTTTAAGAACAAAGATGTTTAGGTAAGGTATTTAGGCATTGTTTAAAATTATTGAGTCTCAAAAGTTATGTTTTTTTTAGAAATACCCACAAAATACTCTTTTTGGGTAAATTGCACTAAAATAACCACAATGAAATTCCATTCTTTTTTTTGTTATTGTTTGAATAATGTTATGTTTATTAGTAAATGGGACCTCTATAGGCACTATTTGAGTCTATTTGTTACACTTTTAATGTGGTGGGTGACGATTACTTCCGGTAGCCGTTCCCAACAGACTAAGCTTGTTTATGGATTCCTGTCGATTATTTATTAGACTTTCAGCCTCTATTAGGCTTCTTTTTAGTTGATCTCTTAAATATTCAATAGTTTAGACTGGGTCTTATTGCAAGACACGGCAAAAATCTAATATTGATGCCAGTAAGAGCTTTTTGGCGAATTAGTTGTTTACCAACGAGAATTACCTTACATTAACACCAAACCATCACCAAATTTTTATGGATATGAAATACCATGGATTTGAGTTACTCGCTCAATGTAGCTGCCAACTGGTACATAACCCTTATTCAGAATTATGAGCTATCTAGCTTATTAAGCGAATTCAACGATTCAAGCGAATAAAACAAAGATCATAACATTGTGGACAAAGTATCCATACATCATTCATATTATTTCATCACACTAGTGTCCGGCTGTAAATACTGATCTTTCATCTCTAACGAGTAGAGTCCTCCAGTATTCATAGCTCGGTTCAAAAGTTTGTGATCACACCTTAAACGAGCTATACGATGAGCTCTGGTCAATTTAGGTAAAAAAACATAACTTGGAACGTTAAGCATCTTCTTAGAACTGATTAAGATTGGTTGGATCAATGGCTATGAAGGACTCGGGCAGTCACGAAACCCACTTAACGTTCAAAAACCCTTATATTGGTCATAATAGGGCTAGTTCTGCATTTTCTTAGAAAAGAATTGCAGACAAATTCAGGAATCCCTCAACAGAACTTTCACAAGTTTCAGTTACCTCCTCGCGAAACATCATCACAAATTCCCACTGACCAAAAATCTCTTGAAGCAGAGCAACTACCCTAGCAGCGGTGTGCTTGCCCAAATCGCATTGAAAATCAGCCATAGGATTTACAATTAACACACAAACCAAACAAAACTCTCACAATAAACAAGATTCAACCATTAACACAAGACAAACTTTTTTCGTATCACGTTTTTTCAATCACTTCACTATTTCTGCTTACCTACTTAAATAAAATGATTAGGTATAAACTTTTGTCTGGAACATTAGAAATTACTTATTAACATGTTAACTATATAATCAAATGCTTTATTTTAGTAATCAATACTTCTAGAGTTATTTTAAGACAAATATACCAAATTTTCGTTGATACGAGTTTACATACGTATACATACTTATGTCTACAGATGTACGTAAGTAACAATATGTTACGAGGTGTATTGTGTGGGAGTTTCCTCGAATCCTCTGAACGTAGAAAGGCACTTGAAGCAATGTTACCTATGTTTATAATTGTTTAAATAAGTAGAAATAGCAATCGAATTTCCAATAAGATTGCACAGCCTGTTGTTATGTTTAATATACGCGCTCGCTCCATTTAATTTTATTTCACGACCCAAAAGCCTGTCGGTAACAAAATTAAATTTGAAATGAAATCTAACAGAGCACCCTTTGTTAGCGGGAGGCTGGTCGGCGCTGAAAAATTGACCTTGATATATTTGATGGACTTATGTCCATTATACAGTTTACATTTGCTCTATTTAAGTTACGTAAAAATTAGAAATGCAGAAAACTAGGTGCCTATTTAATAACCTTAATAAGTCTCAATTCTAAAGGTAATGTCACTCTGTAGTGATACATTATGTCAATGTTACAGAGCGCAGTATAACAAGAGCTACGTACACACACGTAGCGCAGCACCGGATATGAGAAAATTAGGAAGTGGCTATTGGACACAATTGTACAGACTGTCGGCTGATTCTGTGCTCACACGGTGCGAGAACTCATCTAAAATAATAACACATAATCATAATGGAGATAGCAAATTATATTATCCTAGTCTGCATCTTACAAGGTTACTTCCAGCTTTCACTATTTTTATACATAATATTAGTAACATATAATTTTATACCTAAAATTAGCTTTTTCATACTTTATTTTAACTATCGAGAGATCATTTATTCTTTCGAAGCATTGTTATACTTTTGAACATATACCTACATGAAAATCATAAAATGGTTGAGCTTATATAAAATTTGTATATACAAAGCTGAGTTTCGAAGAACAGTTGTTTATATTTACAACAGGTAAACAGCCATTAAAGAGAGTGAGTGGGCTTAAGGTGGGTAGGCAGGGGGTAAATCCCGAGATCGTCCTATAGATTACTTTTACGCCCGGTACTATGGAAATAAATACAGGCCTATGTATGTATTTGTATTTTGTACTTAACTATGTAATAAATTGAAATTGTCAACGATTTTATAGGGAGTGTTAAAACACCAAAATTTTACCAAACACGCTGGTGGTGTACTTGACAGGAAAATTTTCCCACATGTTGAAATATTTCTATTGGATAAGCCCTTGACCCAACCACTGTAATTCTTGTAAGAAACTACAGCAGAGATTAACCACAAAAGAAATGAAGTTCAGCGTGGCCCAAGAACCTAAACTGTTTTGGATCCCGTCATATGTAAGGCGTAGGCCTACAATCAATACTTATTTGGGATTTTGATTTTGAATATTTTTTCTTTTTTTTTATTTACTATGATTTTCTCCCGTGTCGTGGGTGCGTTTACAATCAAGTTAAGATACACATATCACCCGAAACAACTATTTGTGGATCACACAAAGAGTTACTCCAGTGCCCTCACATAACAAGCACATCGCAACTCATTCCACTAAATTATTTTTCCCCGATTTTTGTACACAAATTCAAAATTCTAAGTATGTATGTATATGATATTACAAATCTGACCTCCCAAAACGAATACTGGCAAATAGTTACCCAATTTATACGTTCGTCACGTGTAGGACGTAGGACGTCGCACGCCGGAACCACATCAATAATGATGCTGACACCTCGTATGTAGATTTATGAACAGAATAAACATAATCTATACTCGTATTGTAAACGTTAAGAATTTTCTTTTGTTCCTTCCAACGATTTCTTAAATTAGCAGATAATAGAATAGTTTTATTTTGTTTCAAGTATAACCTATTTATTTGATTTTCACCGATACTTCTTCAGTGAAAATCACAAAAAACCAGCCTTTTAAATTAGTCAAGTATTTACAAGCCCATTGATTTTTTTTCTAATTTTGAATAATAGGTTTTAAACAAAAACGTGACTTCGCTGTAAAGGGACAAAATAAGTACGTAATGGTAGGTATACAATACGCTTCTAATATTGTACCTATCCTAAATAGACTAGGGTCTTGATTTTAGAATGAGGTGTGGCGTCGTCTTCATCTCTCCCTCGTCTTCTTACGTTCAGGTAAGTGGCGTAGGCAAATAATGTCACTTTTGAATAGAAAGTCGTTATCTTCAAAACAACGACTTCAGTACAAAAACAACTCCGAGAAAACTTGTCACATTGGAGACAACAAACTCAGGTATGAAAATAGAACAACGATTATGGTATTATAACAAAAGTTTAACAATATAATTTGGTACGATTCACAAAGAATAAAATAAAATTGAGGTTTTATATCATCTGTCTGAAACAGTATCGAGCACTATCTACCAATAAAAGATTTGAAGGCGATACAGATAATGTCAATAAGTACTAGAAACCAGTAAACGGGGTGAGAGAAATATTAATAACGACCCCTTGATGTCGTCGAACGACTGCTTCTATCGACGTTTGCCTGCTCATTTCACAAATTGAATAAAACCCTAATGCTTTCTACATCGTCACTGGTAGGTACTGACGTTTCCAATAACTGGGCAAGTACCTATGTAAAGAAAATGATTATCTTAATCGACGATAAACTATCTTTTATCACCAATTAAGCCTCTCTATAATAAACTACAGCGAGAGAAGGTAATAATGCCTGCCATATTTGGACAGCAGTATATAATAAAACCCTGCTTATTAAATGGCAGTTTCGCCAAGCTTACAAGAGAAACCAGTTAATATCAGTTAATAAAGGAACAGAATACTGTTAGTTGGGTATTTTAAGACACAAAACAATATGAAGCATATAATATAGAGAAGAAAGTCATTGTGCCAAGAC